CACACACTCACTCCCTCACCCACAACACTCACGCGCATTCACACACTCAGTCTAACACTCCCTTACATCATTTCTCACACACACACTCTCTCACACTCACAAACACACAGACACACACAGTCTAACACACTCCCTTACACCATCTCTCACACACACTCTCACACAATCTCTCACACTCACACACTCACAAACACACAGACACACAGTCTAACACACTCCCTTACACCATCTTTCTCACACACACACTCACTCTCACACACACTAAATCTCTCACACTCCCTAACACTCCTAACATATTCTCTCTCTCGCACTGTCACGTTTTCAATCTCTCACAATCTCTCATTCACACTCGCCCTCTCTCTCTCCCTTACACACATGCACACACAATTACACACTCGCCCTCTCTCTCCCTTACACACATGCACACACAATTACACTCTCGCACACTCTCTCGCACACATACTCAATCTGTCACACACTCCACCTCACACTCCCACACACACACTCCCTCCCTCACACACTCGAACACACAGACTCCTATCACACGCTCCTTCACACACTGTCACACACACTCACTCAATCACTCACACACTCAGTCTCACAACACACACCCTCTCTCGCACTCACAACACACACCCAGTCTCACACACACAGTCTCTCACATACACACACAGTCTCACACAGTCTCACACACACACCAGTCTCACACACACAGTCTCACACAGTCTCACACACACACCCAGTCTCTCTCACACACACAGTCTCTCACACACACACACAGTCTCTCACAGTCTCACACCCAGTCCTTCTCACACACAGTCTCACACAGTCTCACACACACAGTCTCTCTCACACACACCCAGGCTCACACACACACACAGTCTCACACACACACACAGTCTCACACACACAGTCTCACACACACACAGTCTCTCATATACACACACACAGTCTCTCATATACACACACACAGTCTCACACACACACAGTCTCACACACACCCAGTCTCTCTCTCACACACACAGTCTCACACAGTCTCACACACACACCCAGTCTCTCTCTCACACACACACACAGTCTCACAGTCTCACACACACACCCAGTCTCACACACACACCCAGTCTCACACACACACACACCCAGTCCCTCTCACACACACCAAGTCTCTCACACACACCAAGTCTCTCTCACACACACAGTCTCTCACATACACACACAGTCTCACACACACAGTCTCACACACAGTCTCACACACACACAGTCTCACACACACACAGGCTCACACACACAGTCTCACACACACACAGTCTCACACACACACCCAGTCTCTCATATACACACACACACACCCAGTCTCTCTCACACACACAGTCTCTCACAGTCTCACACCCAGTCTCTCTCACACACACAGTCTCTCACAGTCTCACACCCAGTCTCTCTCACACACACACAGTCTCACACACACACAGTCTCTCACATACACACACAGTCTCTCACATACACACACAGTCTCTCACACACACAGTCTCTCTCACACACACACATAGTCTCTCTCACACACACACAGTCTCTCTCACACACACACAGTCTCTCTCACACACACACAGTCTCTCTCACACACACACCCAGTCTCTCATATACACAAAGATCAAAGATAAAGATCCCCCATATAGCCTTAACAGACTGTAGGGGCAAGTGCTGTTAGCGAGCACCTATGAAGGCCGGAACGGTACACATATACACACACACCCAGTCTCACACACACACACCCAGTCTCTCTTATACACACACAGTCTCTCACATACACACACACAGTCTCTCACATACACACACACAGTCTCTCACATACACACACACAGTCTCTCACACACACACAGTCTCTCACACACACAGTCTCTCTCACACACACACAGTCTCTCTCACACACACACAGTCTCTCACACACACACACACAGTCTCTCACACACACACACAGTCTCTCTCACACACACACAGTCTCTCTCACACACACCCAGTCTCTCTCACACACACCAGTCTCACACACACACACACCCAGTCTCTCTCACACACACACAGTCTCTCTCACACACACACAGTCTCTCTCATACACACCCAGTCTCTCTCATACACACACACACTCTCTCACACTCACAACACTCAGTCTCCCAAACTCTCTCTCACACAGTCTCTCTCACACACACCCAGTCTCACACACACACAGTCTCTCTCACACACACCCAGTCTCTCTCACACACACCCAGTCTCTCTCACACACACACAGTATCTCTCATACACACACACACAGTCTCTCTCATACACACACAGTATCTCTCATACACACACACACAGTCTCTCTCATACACACACACACAGTCTCTCTCATACACACCCAGTCTCTCTCATACACACACACACTCTCACACTCATAACACTCAGTCTCCCAAACTCTCTCTCACACAGTCTCTCACACACCCAGTCTCACACACACAGTCTCTCACCCACACACACTTTCTCACACTCTCTCACACTCACAACACTCACAGTCTCCCAAACTCTCTCGCACACACAACCTCAGACGCAAACACGATGACACACTAACACACAAATACAAAGATGCCCCGGGTAAACATACAGACCTTTGAGACAAGTGTTGTTAACAAGCACCTATTAAGATCAGCACGGCGCAGGGTGTGTGGCCAAAACCACGCCCGGCCGCCTTTGTCTCTCCAGTCCTGGCGTTTAAACACCGCGACAGATGGTAATTTAAGGTTAAGCTGAACTAAGAGAGAGGTTCTGGTTTGGATTTCACTGGCCACTGATGTTAGCCGTGGGCGGGACTCGACCTCACTCTCTCACTCACTCTCTCACAACTCACATTCACTCACACTCTCACTCACTCTCCTACTCACTCTCTCACTCACTCTCCTACTCACTCTCTCACTCACTCACTCTCTCACTCACTCTCCCACTCACTCTCCCACTCAATCACTCTCTCACAACTCACTCTCACTCACTCTCCCACTCACTCTCTCACAACTCACTCTCCCACTCACTCTCCCACTCTCTCACTCTCCCACTCTCTCACTCTCCCACTCTCTCACTCTCTCACTCTCCCACTCTCTCACTCTCCCACTCTCCCACTCACTCTCCCACTCACTCTCCCACTCACTCTCCCACTCACTCTCCCACTCACTCTCTCACAACTCACTCTCTCAGAACTCACTCTCCCACTCACTAACTCTCCCACTCTCTCACTCTCTCACTCACTCTCCCACTCTCCCACTCACTCACTCACTCTCTCACTCACTCTCCCACTCACTCTCCCACTCACTCTCTCACAACTCACTCTCTCACAACTCACTCTCTCACAACTCACTCTCTCACAACTCACTCTCTCACAACTCACTCTCCCACTCACTCTCCCACTCACTCTCTCACAACTCACTCTCTCACAACTCACTCTCCCACTCTCTCACTCTCCCACGCTCTCACTCTCCCACTCTCTCACTCTCCCACTCTCTCACTCTCCCACCCTCTCACTCACTCTCCCACTAACTCTCCCACTCACTCTCCCACTCACTCTCCCACTCACTCTCTCACAACTCACTCTCTCACAACTCACTCTCCCACTCACTAACTCTCCCACTCTCTCACTCTCTCACTCACTCTCCCACTCTCCCACTCACTCACTCACTCTCTGACTCACTCTCCCACTCACTCTCCCACTCACTCTCCCACTCCCTCTCCCACGCACTCTCTCACAACTCACTCTCTCACAACTCACTCTCTCACAACTCACTCTCTCACAACTCACTCTCCCACTCACTCTCCCACTCACTCTCCCACTCACTCTCCCACTCACTCTCTCTCTCACTACTCACTCTCTCACAACTCACTCTCTCACTCACTCTCTCACAACTCACTCACTCACCCTCCCACTCACTCTCTCACTCACTCTCCCACTCACTCTCCCACTCACTCTCCCACTCACTCACTCTCTCACTACTCACTCTCACTCACTCACTCTCCCACTCACTCTCCCACTCACTCTCTCACAACTCACTCTCTCACTCACTCTCTCACAACTCACTCTCACTCACTCACTCTCCCACTCACTCTCCCACTCACTCTCCCACTCTCTCACAACTCACTCTCTCACAACTCACTCTCTCACTCACTCTCCCACTCACTCTCACACTCACTCTCCCACTCTCACACTCACTCTCCCACTCTCTCACTCTCCCACTCACTCTCCCACTCTCTCACTCTCTCACTCTCCCACTCACTCTCCCACTCACTCACTCTCTCACTCACTCTCCCACTGACTCTCCCACTCACTCACTCTCCCACTCACTCTCCCACTCACTCACTCTCCCACTCACTCTCCCACTCTCCCTCTCTCGACCCCTCTTGTTGGGGGGACAGCGGGGGGCGAGGGTACACGACCCCTAATAACCCCTAACGACCCCCTCCCCATCTCTCTCTCGCTCCTGTCCACCCCCTCCCTCCCCTCGTTCCCCCTCCTCCCTCTCATCTCCTCCCTCGCCTCTCCCCTTTCGCCAACCTCTCTCATCTCCCTACCCCCCCTCTCCTCCTCCGCTCTCTCCTACAAATTCTCGTTCTCCTCTCTTATTCTCCCCTCTGTCTCATCGCACTCATCTCCTCCTCCTCCTCTTCACTCTCATCTCCCTCCTCTTCACCCTCATCTCTCTCCTCCACGTTTTCTACTGCACTTTGTCTTCCCTCCACCTTTGTCTCTCCTGCTCCACTCTCACCGCACTCATTTTCCACACACATCCCTCTCTCTCCCTCCTCTTCACTCTCATCCCCTCCTCCCCCTCCCACTCCTCTCTCTTCTCCGCTCTCTGCACTCTCACTTCACTCCTCATCCACTCTCCCCTGCACCTTCTCCACCCCTCCACCTTTGTCTCTCCTGGCCCCCCACCCACCCCTCCCCCACCCACCGTCACCCCACCCCCTCCCCCGGGCTCCGTGAACAGGTTCTCCCGAGGGACCCCGTGACCCTGAGTGACCCCGAGGGACCTCGTGACCCCGAGGGACCTCGTGACCCCGAGAGACCCCGAGTGACCCTGAGGGACCCCGTGACCCTGACCCGGCGCGACTCGGGGGGGGGAGGGTGGGCCCATGGCGACGCGGGGCCTCGTAGGGGAGTCGCGTGGCACCAGGGAGGAGATGGAGCGGCAGAGCGAAGGGGTCAGTGCGGCGGTCGGAGCCGGGGCTGAGGACGAGGAGGAGGAAGACGAGGTGGAGGAAATGGAGGAAGAGGAGGAGGAGGGTGACGAGGAGGAGGGGGAGGAGGGGGGACCTCGTTTCCGCGATGCCGAGCCCAGCATCGCGGGGGGCGCGACCCCCCCTGGCGCGTGCGTGGGGGGAGAGCAGGTGACCGCCCCCCCTGCACCTCACTCCTCACCACCACCACTCACCTTACCCCTGACCAAATACACATCGCATGTCACACCACGTAATCTCACCTCTCACACCACAGATTCACCACGCACCCTCACCACACACCCTCACCACTCAACACAGACTCACCACGTACCCTCACCACACACCCTCACCACTCAACACAGACTCACCACACAGACTCACCACACACCCTCACCACCCAACACACCCTCACCACCCAACACACCCTCACCACACACCCTCACCACCCAACACACCCTCACCACTCAACACAGACTCACCACGTACCCTCACCACGTACCCTCACCACACAACACAGACTCACCACACAGACTCACCACACACCCTCACCACACAGACTCACCACGTACCCTCACCACGTACCCTCACCACGTACCCTCACCACGTACCCTCACCAAGTACCCTCACCACGTACCCTCACCACACACCCTCACCACACACCCTCACCACACCCTCACCACACACCCTCACCACACAGACTCACCACACACCCTCACCACACACCCTCACCACACAGACTCATCACGTACCCTCACCACGTACCCTCACCACGTACCCTCACCACGTACCCTCACCACGTACCCTCACCACGTACCCTCACCACACAGACTCACCACGTACCCTCACCACACAAACTCACCACACACCCTCACCACACACCCTCACCCCACCCCCTCACCCCACCCGCTCGCCTCACCCTGAGTCGCCCCTCCGCGCTACACGCGCGTCGCTTTTAGACGAGCGAGGAGGAAGAGGCGACACTCAACCCGGCACCCCTCCCTCCCCCCAGGTGGGCCCTCACTACCCCCGCATGGCCCCGTCTCCCCCGTGCGCCCTGGGCCCCGGGGGCGGGGGGGTTCACGGGAGTTCCCCGCGCCCCGCGGGGGGTCCCGCGAGCGAGGGGGTCACATCCCTGGAGGAGGGGGAGGAGGATGGAGAGGGGGGGGCTCCCCCGGGGACCCCCGGGTGCCGTGACGCGTGGAGCCTCACGGAGCCGGCCTGCCTGGGGCCCTGCGAGCCGGGCACCAGCGTCAGGCTGCACGGCCTCGTGTGGCACGAGAACCAAGCGGGTAAGGAGGGGCCCCAGGGGGACACGGGGAGGGGGGCACGGGGGAGGGGGGGTGGAGGAGAGAGGTGGTGGTGGTGGTGTTGGGAGGGGGGTAACGAGGGGTGAGGGGGGGCGGGTCGTGGAGAAGGGGGGGTGGCGAGGGTCGCACTGACCGGCGTGGTGAAGTATGGTCGTCGCGTAATCCAGCACGGCGTGGATAGGCTTCTCGTCGTCATCCAGCAGTGGAGTGACCATGGCTGCTGCACGTGCACGCGATGGGGAGAGTTGTTTCGAGGACAGGGGTGGGGGGGGGCCGCCGAGATGTGGGGGGGAGGGGGCCTGCGGAGGGAGAGGAGCCGGGCCCTGATTGGAGCGCTAATTAACGACGCGCCGCTCTCTGGGTATAAATTCTAATTAAGGGTTAATCAGCCCGCGGCGTCGCGGGGGGCGGGGTGGGGGGGGGGCGACCCCTCCCCCTGGGGCCCCTGGATCGACCCGCGCCCTGCGAGCGGTGGCGATGGTTGATGATGGTGGTGGTGGTGATGATGACTGGTTGTGATGGTGATTGGTGGTGGTGATGTTGACTGATTGGTGGTGGTGGTGATGTTGACTGGTGGTGGTGGTGATGTTGACTGATTGGTGGTGGTGGTGGTGATTGGTGGTGGTGATGACTGGTGGTGATGTTGACTGGTGGTGGTGGTGATTGGTGGTGGTGATGACTGGTGGTGATGTTGACTGATTGGTGGTGGTGACTGGTGGTGGTGATGTTGACCGGTGGTGGTGGTGATGTTGGGTGGTGGTGATGTTGACTGGTGGTGATGGTGGTGATGTTGACTGGTGGTGGTGGTGATTGGTGGTGGTGATGTTGACTGGTGGTGGTGGTGGTGATTGGTGGTGGTGGTGGTGATTGGTGGTGGTGATGTTGACTGGTGGTGATTGGTGGTGGTGATGTTGACTGGTGGTGGTGGTGGTGATGTTGACTGGTGGTGGTGATGTTGACTGATTGGTGGTGGTGATGTTGACTGATTGGTGGTGGTGATGTTGACTGATTGGTGGTGGTGGTGATGTTGACTGGTGGTGGTGGTGGTGATGTTGACTGGTGGTGATGGTGGTGATGTTGACTGGTTGTGATGGTGGTGATGTTGACTGGTGGTGGTGATGTTGGCTGGTGATGGTGGTGATGTTGACTGGTGATGGTGGTGATGTTGACTGGTGGTGGTGATGTTAACTGGTGGTGATGGTGATGTTGATTGGTGGTGGTGATGTTGAATGGTGGTGGTGATGTTGACTGGTGGTGGTGATGTTGACTGGTGGTGGTGGTGATGTTGACTGATGGTGATGTTGACTGGTGGTGGTGAATGATGTTGACTGGTGGTGGTGATGTTGACTGGTGGTGGTGAATGATGTTGACTGGTGGTGCTGATGTTGACTGGTGGTGGTGGTGATAGTGTTGGCCGTGATGGCGATGACGACAGTGGGTGATGGGTGGTGATCGCTTACAGCACTTGCTCCTGCAGTCTATTAAGGCTATACGGGTGATCTTTGTTGATGATGACATCATTGTGGTGGTGATGTTTTTGATTACACGTGAGCATACACGTATGTTAGTGTGCATATGTGAATGTGGCTACACGTGTGTGTGTAAACGTGATGCTGGCCACCCTCCCCCTCGTGTGCCGTGCCGGCCTTCATAGGTGCTCGCTAACAGCACTTGCCCCAACAGTCTGTTCAAGGCTACTTGGGGAATCTTTGTCTCTGTGGATGTTACTGTACTGTCTACTGTGTGTGTGTCGTGAGATATTCGCCGTCACATGCCCCACCAGTTTTAAGGCAAGGGGAGGGGTCTTTGTCTTTAAACATACGTATACAGTATATATACAGTACGTGTGTGTGTGTACTGTGGGGAGCGGTAGTGGCTGCGGCTAGCGCGCTGCGCTACGAACCCGGCGAGCCGAGTTCGATTCCCGCTCACGGCCAACACCGGTGACGATTATCTGAACCGGTCCTGGGCCTCCCCTAGGTCGACTCAACCTCAAATGAGTACCTGGTGCGGCGCGTACAAATATCGCCACTAGGGAGACAAAGGCGGCCGGGCGTGCGTGCCGGCCACCCACCCCCTCGTGTGCCGTTCCGGCCTTCAACAGCACCTGCCCCAACAGTCTGTTGAAGGCTATACGGGGGACCTTTGTATTTGTGTGTGGTGGGGGGGGAGCGGTGGCGCAGTGGTTGGCGCGCTGCGCTATCACTCGCCAACATCTGTGGCGAGTGATATCTGAACCGGTCCTAAGCCTCCCTTGGGTCGACTCAGCCATAAATGAACGCGTGATGTGGTCTGTGAACGTCAGCATTGGGGATACAAAGGCGGTCGGGCGTGTCTCCGACGCGTGTATGCGTATTTAACTAGTCTACACATGTACACGTGTTTGCATGTCTGTGTAGTCTATACATGTACACGTGTGTGTGTAGTCTATACATGTACACGTGTGTGTAGTCTACATGGTCACGCGTGTATGCGTGTAGTCTATACATGTGCACGCGTGTGTGTGCGTGTAGTCTATACATGTACACGCGTGTGTGTGTAGTCTACATGGTCAAGCGTGTGCGTGTAGTCTATACATGTACACGCGTGTGTATGCGTGTGTAGTCTATACATGTACACGCGTGTGTATGCGTGTGTAGTCTATACATGTACACGCGTGTGTGTGCGTGTAGTCTATACATGTACACGCGTGTGTATGCGTGTGTAGTCTATACATGTACACGCGTGTGTGTGCGTGTAGTCTATACATGTACACGCGCGTGTGTAGTCTATACATGTACACGCGTGTGTGTGCGTGTAGTCTATACATGTACACGCGCGTGTATGTGTGTAGTCTATACATGTACACGCGCGTGTATGCGTGTGTGTCTATACATGTACACGCGCGTGTATGCGTGTAGTCTATACATGTACACGCGCGTGTGTATGCGTGTCTAGTCTATACATGTACACGCGCGTGTGTATGCGTGTCTAGTCTATACATGTACACGCGTGTGTGTATGCGTGTCTAGTCTATACATGTACACGTGTATGCGTGTGTAGTCTATACATGTACACGCGTGTGTGTATGCGTGTAGTCTATATATGTACACGCGCGTGTGTATGCGTGTGTAGTCTATACATGTACACGCGTGTGTGTATGCGTGTGTAGTCTATACATGTACACGCGTGTGTGTATGCGTGTGTAGTCTATACATGTACACGCGCGTGTGTATGCGTGTAGTCTATACATGTACACGCGCGTGTGTGCGTGTAGTCTATACACGTACACGCGTGTGTGTGCGTGTGTAGTCTATACATGTACACGCGCGTGTGTGCGTGTAGTCTATACATGTACACGCGCGTTTATGCGTGTAGTCTATACATGTACACGCGTGTGTATGCGTGTAGTCTATACATGTACACGCGTGTGTGTATGCGTGTGTAGTCTATACATGTACACGCGTGTGTGTATGCGTGTAGTCTATACATGTACACGCGTGTGTGTGCGTGTAGTCTATACATGTACACGCGCGTGTATGCGTGTGTAGTCTATACATGTACACGCGTGTGTATGCGTGTGTGTCTATACATGTACACGCGTGTGTATGCGTGTGTAGTCTATACATGTACACGCGTGTGTGTGCGTGTAGTCTATACATGTACACGCGCGTGTATGCGTGTAGTCTATACATGTACACGCGTGTGTATGCGTGTGTGTCTATACATGTACACGCGCGTGTGTATGCGTGTAGTCTATACATGTACACGCGTGTGTATGCGTGTGTGTCTATACATGTACACGCGCGTGTGTATGCGTGTCTAGTCTATACATGTACACGCGCGTGTGTATGCGTGTCTAGTCTATACATGTACACGCGTGTGTGTATGCGTGTCTAGTCTATACATGTACACGTGTATGCTTGTGTAGTCTATACATGTACACGTGTATGCGTGTAGTCTATACATGTACACGCGTGTGTGTATGCGTGTAGTCTATATATGTACACGCGCGTGTGTATACGTGTGTAGTCTATACATGTACACGCGTGTGTGTATGCGTGTAGTCTATACATGTACACGCGCGTGTGTATGCGTGTGTAGTCTATACATGTACACGCGTGTGTATGCGTGTGTAGTCTATACATGTACACGCGCGTGTGTATGCGTGTAGTCTATACATGTACACGCGCGTGTGTGCGTGTAGTCTATACACGTACACGCGTGTGTGTGCGTGTGTAGTCTATACATGTACACGCGCGTTTATGCGTGTAGTCTATACATGTACACGCGTGTGTGTATGCGTGTGTAGTCTATACATGTACACGTGTATGCGTGTAGTCTATACATGTACACGCGTGTGTGTATGCGTGTAGTCTATACATGTACACGCGTGTGTGTGCGTGTAGTCTATACATGTACACGCGCGTGTATGCGTGTGTAGTCTATACATGTACACGCGTGTGTGTGCGTGTAGTCTATACATGTACACGCGCGTGTATGCGTGTAGTCTATACATGTACACGCGTGTGTATGCGTGTGTGTCTATACATGTACACGCGCGTGTGTATGCGTGTAGTCTATACATGTACACGCGCGTGTGTATGCGTGTCTACTCTATACATGTACACGCGTGTGTATGCGTGTGCAGTCTATACATGTACACGTGTATGCGTGTAGTCTATACATGTACACGCGTGTGTGTATGCGTGTAGTCTATATATGTACACGCGCGTGTGTATGCGTGTGTAGTCTATACATGTACACGCGTGTGTGTATGCGTGTAGTCTATACATGTACACGCGCGTGTGTATGCGTGTGTAGTCTATACATGTACACGCGTGTGTGTATGCGTGTGTAGTCTATACATGTACACGCGCGTGTGTATGCGTGTAGTCTATACATGTACACGCGCGTGTGTGCGTGTAGTCTATACACGTACACGCGTGTGTGTGCGTGTGTAGTCTATACACGTACACGCGTGTGTGTGCGTGTGTAGTCTATACATGTACACGCGTGTGTGTGCGTGTAGTCTATACATGTACACGCGCGTTTATGCGTGTAGTCTATACATGTACACGCGTGTGTATGCGTGTAGTCTATACATATACACGCGCGTGTGTTTGCGTGTCTAGTCTATACATGTACACGCGTGTGTGTATGCGTGTGTAGTCTATACATGTACACGCGTGTGTGTATGCGTGTGTAGTCTATACATGTACACGCGTGTGTGTATGCGTGTGTAGTCTATACATGTACACGCGTGTGTGTATGCGTGTAGTCTATACATGTACACGCGCGTGTGTATGCGTGTGTAGTCTATACATGTACACGCGTGTGTGTATGCGTGTGTAGTCTATACATGTACACGCGTGTGTGTATGCGTGTAGTCTATACATGTACACGCGCGTGTGTATGCGTGTGTAGTCTATACATGTACACGCGTGTGTGTATGCGTGTGTAGTCTATACATGTACACGCGTGTGTGTATGCGTGTGTAGTCTATACATGTACACGCGCGTGTGTATGCGTGTAGTCTATACATGTACACGCGCGTGTGTGCGTGTAGTCTATACACGTACACGCGTGTGTGTGCGTGTAGTCTATACACGTACGCGCGTGTGTATGCGTGTAGTCTATACACGTGTATGCGTGTGTAGTCTATACACGTACACGCGTGTGTGTACGCGTGTAGTCTATACACGTACACGCGTGTGTGTGCGTGTGTGCTCTGTATGTGTACACGCGTGTGAACTGGTCTGTACGTGTACACGTAGGTATGCTGGTGCTGCACGTGCGCTGGAGGAACAGCACCTACGTGGGCACACTCCTCGACTGCTCCCGTCACGGACTCGCCGCTCCCCGGTGAGCTCACTCACCACTCACTCACCACTCACGCACCAGCATGCTCACCACTCACTCACCACTCACTCACTCACCACTCACTCACCACCATGCTCACCACTCACTCACCACGTTCACCACTCACTCACCACTCGCTCACCACCATGCTCACCACTCACTCACCACGTTCACCACTCACCACTCGCTCACCGCGTTCACCACTCACTCACCACTCACTCACCACTCACTCACCACCATGCTCACCACTCACTCACCACGTTCACCACTCACCACTCACTCACCACGTTCACCACTCACTCACCACTCACCACCATGCTCACCACTCACTCATCACGTTCACCACTCACCACGTTCACCACTCACTCAGCACGCTCACCACCACGCCCACCACTCGCCACCACGCTCACCACTCACTCACCACCACTCACCACCACGCTCACCACCACTCACCATCACGCTCACCACCATGCTCACCACTAACTCACCACTCACGACTCACTCACCACATCGGGGAGATGATGGGGAAGATTATAGGATGACGATTAGGGTGTTGGTGATGGGATGATGATAGGGTGGTGATGGGATGATGTTGGGGACGTGATGGCGGAGGTGATTGGATGATGTTAGGGGAGGTGATGGGATGATGTTGGGGACATGATGGGATGATGTTGGGACGTGATGGGGGAGGTGATGGATGATGTTGGGGAGGTGATGGGATGATGTTAAGGAGGTAATGGGGGAGGTGATGGGGGAGGTGATGGGATGATGTTAGGGAGGTGATGGGGGAGGTGATGGGATGATGTTGGGGAGGTGATGGGGGAGGTGACGGGATGATGTTGGGGAGCTCCACCTGGCACCGGGACTTGAAGCCCCAAAACAGATGGAGTTCACCCACAGCCCCTCCCCTTCCCCCGCCTCTCAGCCACTCCACCTGCTCCTGTTACCTCCTCCGCTCACCTCTCTTGCCTCCTCCCACCTCTTCAATCCACCTTTTGAACCCCACCTGCTTCTCTCACCAAGCACCTCCTCCAATTCATCCTCCCCCGCCTCCTCCCTCCCACCTCCATCAATCACCCCCCACACGCCTCCCTCCTCGTGCGCCACCTTGTGTCCCCTCCCCGTAGCTACACCTCTCTCCACCTCGTCTCTCCACCTCGTCTCTCCACCTCCTCCTCTCTCCACCTCCTCCTCTCTCCACCTCCTCCTCTCTTCACCATCACCACCTCCTCTAATCGCACCTCCTCCTCCCGCTGCTGCTGCTTCTGGTCCTGCACTGCCCCCTGCTGGTGACATCCCCCTCTCCCACTGGGGACTCTCAAATGAAGGGGACCCAACAGGAACCCCGCGATACGACCCCCTGACGCCCGCCCGCATGCCCGCAGGTTCTGCGAGGTGCGGGCCCCGGCCACCGCCGAGCGCCGCTGCAGCCGCGGCCGGGCCAAGCGCTCTCGGGTGGCCCACGGGGCCCACGGGACCGCGGGGGCGCGGGGGGAGAATCGGGCCCAGAGCGGGACGCGCTCCGTCCTCGCGCAGCACCGTGCGGGTGCCGCGGGGGCCTGGGACGCGGGCCCCGGGAGCGAGGGCCCCCGTGTGGGGGCCCTGCGGAGACGGCCGCGTCCTGGGAGCGACCGCGAGGGCCGCATGGCCAAGAGGGCGCGACTCGCGGCATCCACCGCGGCGGCGGCGGCGGCGCGGGGCCCCGAGGCGGGCCGCGGCCTCGCGGCGCGCGGGGGCCTTCCGCGGGGCCCTCCGCGGGGGCCACGGCGGGGCCCGCGGAGGGGCCCGGCTTGAGGAGACGCCGACGGCCGCCGGCGCGACCGCCGGAGGGGGAGGGGGGGCCCGGGTGACGCGGGGGAGCCCCGAGCACGCGGAGACGGCGCCGTCCCGCGGGCCCCGCCGGCCGAGCGGGCCGAGCCGAGCGGCGGGACCCCCCCGGGGCCCCTGCGGCTGTGCCTCAAGCAGCCGAGGCTCGAGCTGCTGGTCACGGCACCGCACGTCAAACTCTTCCGCGGCGGAGGAGGCGGCGGAGGAGGCGGCGGAGGAGGCCACGAGCGAGACGGGCCGGCCGCCAAACGAGCGCTGATGAGCGACGGCGTGGCCAGGTGTGGGCGCCGCGGGCCCCGCCGTGGGCCCCGGGGCCCCCGTGGCGGCGGCGGCGGCGGCGCGGAGGCCCCTCGCGGCCCCCGCGTCCCCCCGCTCGGCGTCCCGGGCCGGGGCCCACGCGGGCCCCGTCCCTCGCGTGCGAGCCGCGCTGCCCCGCGTCATCATCCCCTTCCCCTGCAAGGACGGGGCCCCGCCGCCCGGACCCCACGCGGGACCCAAGACCTCTCCCTCCAAGAGCCCCGCGTCCCATCAACAGCAGCAGCAGCAGAGGCCTCCGGCTCTAGACGGCCCCGCGCTCGTCAAGGCCCGCGCTGCAGCACCTGAAGGCGCGAAGGCGCGAGAGGGAGCGCGGCGCAGCCGAAGCGAGGCAGGAGCAGGGCCCCGTGGCCTCGGGGCCCAAGGCGGAGACCGAGAACGGGCGCCCGGGGCAGGACAAGGAGGCCCCGTTGTTCGTGGACAGATCGTTGAGGCTGCGACCTCCTCCACGGGGGGCTGCCGCGGGGCCCGGCGAGAGGAACGGGCCCCAGGGCGCGGGGCGACAGCGCCGGCGGTGGTCTCCTCTGCCTCCTCCTCCAGCTCCGAGCTGTCGGACACGGATGAGGGCCCCTCCGAACCCCGCGGGCCCCCGGCCCCGTCTCGCCTCCCGCCAGCAGCAGCAGCAGCAGCAGCAGCAGCAACCGCCACGCGGACCGGGCCCCGGGGTCCCCGGGAGGGACGGGGAGATTCCGGCCCGCTGGACGGGGACCCAGGGCCTCCATCCGACGTGCGGGACCAACGCCGCCCCCGCGGGTCGCGGCGTGGGCCCGCGGCCCCCCCCCGCGGGCCCCCGCGGCCCTGGCACGGCTCCCGCTCCCGCCCACTGCTCCCACACGTCGGGGCCAGCAGGGACCCAGGCCTCAGCCTCGGCCCGGGGCCCCGCTCGCGAGTGGCCGGGGCCCCCTCGCAGAGACCTCCACCACGCCGCGCCGCCCCCGGGCCACTCGGCCAAGCAGGGCCCGGCCGGCGGTCCGGGGCCCAAGTTGGTATCGGGCTCCACCGTGACTCAGCCGCACAAGCCCCCGGGCATCCACGTGCCCCGCCAGGGACCGCCGGCCCACGGGGCCCCCGCCAAGCACCCGCCAGGCCCCCACAAGGCCCCGCTCGCCCAGCACGCCCAGCACCAACGTCCCGCTCCGCTGAACGGGGCCCTCTTTGGGGGAGGCTGTGCCGGCTACGGGGCCGCGGGGGCCGGCGGGGCCCAAGCGTCGGGAGGGTTGCTGGGGCCCCGGCAGGGCCCGCTGGCGGCCAGGGACTCGCAGAGGGACAAACGGGCCCTGCTGTCGTCGCTGTACCGGCGCGACGGGGGGACCCCTGTAGCGGCGGCCGCCGAGAAGTCCGGGCCCCGCGCCGACCTCGGGAGGCCTCGCACGGGGCCCCTGCCCTCGTTCAAGGCCCTGGGCCCCTACAACGCGGGGGCCAAGCCGAGCGGCAGGCGTGACCCCGGGGCCCCCACCCCCGACCCACCCAAGGCGAGCGGCGAGAAGCCAGGGGTGGGGGCCCCCACGGAGGGCCCAGTGGGGGCCCCCGGCCGGGCCGGGGAGGGGGAGGTAGAAGAGGTGAACCCGGGGTGGAGGTGCGGAGACGGCACGCGGAGACCCACGGGCCCATCAAGCAGGTGAGGTCTTGCGTGCTCACCACCCTCCTCACCCGTTCCAATCACCTCGCCAGCCTCGCAGTCGCGACCACACTCACCTCACATTCACCTCGCTCTCTAAGCCCCTAAGTTGTGCCAGCCGTGCGTTACTCGAGCCACACGGCCACAGCACAGACGAGGCCACAGCACAGACGAGGCCACAGCACAGACGAGGCCACAGCACAGACGAGGCCACAGCACAGACGAGGCCACAGCACAGACGAGGCCACAGCACAGACGAGGCCACAGCACAGACGAGGCCACAGCACAGACGAGGCCACAGCACAGACGAGGCCACAGCACAGACGAGGCCACAGCACAGACGAGGCCACAGCACAGACGAGGCCACAGCACAGACGAGGCCACAGCACAGACGAGGCCACAGCACAGACGAGGCCACAGCACAGACGAGGCCACAGCACAGACGAGGCCACAGCACAGACGAGGCCACAGCACAGACGAGGCCACAGCACAGACGAGGCCACAGCACAGACGAGGCCACAGCACAGACGAGGCCACAGCACAGCACAGACGAGGCCACAGCACAGACGAGGCCACAGCACAGACGATGGCCACAGCACAGACGAGGCCACAGCACAGACGAGGCCACAGCACAGACGAGGCCACAGCACAGACGAGGCCACAGCACAGACGAGGCCACAGCACAGACGAGGCCAACAGGCACAGACGAGGCCACAGCACAGACGAGGCTGCGACTCTGGAATGAAGTCGCTGCAGGTTGTTGGTCTCTGCACGCTGATCAGCGTGTCGTGCATCACGCATTGTCCCATGTTTCGTTTCACGCATTATGTGTCACATGGCGCGTATCATGTGTCACATGGCTCGCATAATACACGAGATACATGACGGTGACAAGTGTCGCATTGTGTCGCATATCGCGTACGTCACACGTCACGTGCCGCGTGTCGCGTGTGTGCGTCCCAGGGCGCACTCTCCCGGCCGTGGGATCGCCTCCTCGCCCTGAAAAAACTTCCGGAGCTCGACACAAAACACCGTCCGAACCACAACCACCACAACCCGCACCACCAGCACCACCACAACAACCACCACCACCACCATCCGCAGCAACCGCAGCAACAACCACCGCAGCAGCAGCAACAACAGCCGCCTCCGCAGCTGTCGGCGAAGATCGGAGGGCAGCGGTGGCGGCCGCGAACGGCGCCCCCAGCCCCGTGCCCGCGACGGCCTCTTCCCCCTGCACCGGCAGGCCGGAGGGTCGCTGGGGCCCGAACCCGGCTCCCGGGCGGGCCCCCCCGGCCACACCGCGGGGGGCGCGCCGCCCCCCACCGAGCGGGCCGGACGCGCGGGGGGCCAGGCCGCGTGCGAGGCGGTGGCGCGGGCCGCCACGCTGACGCCCACGTGACGGGTCGGGGCCCCCCATCCCGCGTCGCCACGGTGGCGGCGGTGGCCTGTAGATACGCGAGACGGGGACCGACCCCGCGGAGGAGCCCTGGGATGGCCACCGCTCTGGGGTCGGAGGTCGCGGGGGTTGGGGGTGGTGGGAGTTGTTGGGGGGACCGCTTTCGACCCGATTCGGAGACACGAGTTGTTGAGCACTTGGGGCGCCCCACCGGAGAGACGGCGCGGGGAGGCCAACTTGGACTTGTGGAGCCTTCGGGCGCGTCTACCGCTGCAGGTCACGCTGCTCTCCCACGACGACCCCGGCCACGCCGCGTTGAGACTCGGCGCGTTGCTGTCGGCGAGGGGTCGTGCCGATGAGGGAAAACACGAGGTCCCGCTGTCGCAGTTAGGGACTTGCGACTCGGCTCCAGGAGACCAAGATTCTGGGCTCGAGACTCGGATCCAAGGATCCAGGCGTCTTGTTGGGACCTGCTTCTACGGGACCATTATTCCTGGATCAGAGACTGACGATTCTGTGGACTTGGGCGTGGAGAGTTGGGGGGGGGGGGGGACGGAGCAGGGCCACTCGACTCTAGGTGGTCGCGTCGCTGGTGTCAATTCAGCGTTGGCATCGTTGCTTTGGCGATGCCATTGGGTTTGGCCGACTGCACCGCGAGATGTGAACCGGGGTTGGGCGCGAGGGGGTGGAGGAAACCGCCCGTGTGACCGGCAAACAAACTCGCGTGGGACCACGCGCACGAGTTCAGCGAGGACGCTCCTAGACGCGTTGTCATTGCATCGTCATCAGCGTTGTGATCATCAATATCGTCACGGTCGTCATATCATCACTGTCGTGGTCATCATCCTGGATGGAACCACGTCGATTCCCGGCTCCACCTCCCCACACAGACGTCCCCACCGCCAGCTTGTGCCAAAGAGCGGAGGCTCCGTTCTCCGTGGGGGGGGTGGGGGGGGGGGGCGGGCGGCGGCGGCGCTCATCAACTCATCACGCACGTCGTCGTCGTTAATCTCGTCGCTGTCATCGATGCTGTCATCGTTTTGTTGTTGCTCGGCGGGAGGGACGGATGCGGTGGGGCCCTATGGGCCCCAAAATAAATGTGGAACCACGTCCCCTGGGGTCGCGCTGTGTGGGGTCAGCGTCAGGTAGTGGTGGGTCCGATCACAATGGAGGTGGCAGGTCAAGGGATCCCAAGTGGGTCACCTCGGTGTATACAAAGAACAGAGGCCTTAAGTGTCCCGGTTGGATATGGTGGGGGGTGGTGAGCAACTCCAGGATGAGGGCACACAGCTGCACATGATAATTAATCACACGTCCACAAACCACCACCACCACCACACATACACAACAAAAACACATTACATACAACAAAACTGATTCCCCGTGTAGCCTTTAACAGACTTCCGGATCAAGTGCTGTAAGCGAGCACTGAACATTACCTACATAACAAAGATCCCCCGTATAGCCTTGACAGACTGTAGGGGGCAAGTGCTGTTAGCGAGCAGCTATGAGGGCCGGCACGGCACACGAGGGGGTGGGTGGCCAGCACCACGACCGGCCGCCTTTGTCTCCCGAATGGCGGTTTACACACTGCACCAGGTACTCATTTGAGGCCGAGTCGACCTAGGGGAGGCCCTGGACCGGTTTAGATAATCGTCACTGGTGTCAGCCGTGGGCGGGAATCGAACACAGTACACCGCGACGCACGTGCAGACACCTTTATTACAACAACCTCAAATCACAATGTGCAAACGCGCAGCGCCACCGCCCATCACGAGGCCCCCCCGCCCAACCGAGCTTCATTAAGGGGCAGAGGGGGGGGCAGAGGGGGGGGCGGAGGTCCCTTAACAAGAAATCGCGACGCCGCCCACGCGCCCCACGATCGAGGAGCGACGGGCGGCAGAACCTCGGAGGAGAGCCAGGGCACGACAATTTACAGACTCGGTTCCCCTCTTCTTAAGGACGAGCGCCGCGGTCAGCGCAGTGGTTCCTGACGGCGAACAGATCCACCACCTGGCGCTCCACCACCACCACCACCAACCAGTTTGGCACTCCACCACCTCCGATTAGCGCGGCTGGCTACGTACGGTGATAAGTTCAACGTGCATACACCTACGGTGTGGTGGTGCATGGGGAGTTAAGCTAACTGGGTCAGGGTTCACCTTCCCTGGGCAACCTCTGACCCCACGAGCTGAAGTGGACGCTCGGATCCCCAGTAACAGTTGCAGTCCTGATGCACGCAGCGCGTCCTGGTGAGTTCCACTCAATTCCAGTGAGTCCCCACCGAGTCCCTGTTAGTCCCTGTTAGTCCATATGGTCCCAGTGACACGGGCTCAAGTCTCTTGCACTCCTACCCAGAGAGGGACAGGATGGGGTTGAGGTGGGAGGAGGGGGGGCGGGATTGTGGTCACGGGAAAGGAGTTGGGGGGGGGGTCATTGAGAATCGTCACCGCTGCCCCCGCCGGTCTCCGTGGGGACGTTGACGGAGCCGTTCTCCAGCATGGGGGGCGTGCAGCCTGCAAGGGGGGAAACCACGGAAAGCACAGACCAATCAGAGGAGACGTGTGTGTGTGTGTGTACACAAGACTCAAATGAGTACCTGGTGCAGGGAGACAAAGGCGGTCTGGCGTGGTGCTGGCCACCCACCCCCTACGGGTGCCGTGCCAGCCTTCAAAGGTGCTCGCTAACAGCACTTGCTCCTACAGTCTGTTCAGGCTACATGGGTGATTTTTGTGTACACACTGTAAAACGCTGTGTAGAAGCTACCTGGTCTATCGCTCCGGGTGTTCTTGGCCCCAGTTGTGTTCTTCCTTCTCTATGCTTGAAAAACGTTAAGCCCTCTTAAGGAAGATCTGTGCCGGTTTGAAATATCCAGGCTGGCCCTGCCTACACGCTGCATCCTGGGTTTGAGCAGACCAGATTGTGCGAGGAGCTCACAGATCCTTGAGAGATCTGGACACAGTCTCATCAAGTGAGCTCTTCCGGCAGGCAAGGCTGCGTTGGCCGAGTCATGTAGCCCGCATGCCCAGCCATCGCATGCTGAAGCAGCTTCTGTTTGCCCAGATAGAGGCGGCTAAATGGGCGCAGCATGGGCTAGGAAAGAGTGGGAATTATGCGGTATGGGAGAATGTGGAGCCAAGTCAACTTGCCAATGACTGGTACTAGCAGTGTCAAGATCGGCCTCTGTGGAGGAGGCTCGTGAAGGACGCTACTGGGCAGTTGGAGGCAGTCGCCGGGCAGCAAAAACACAGTGAGTTGGCACAGTAGGGGCCACAGCTGATTCATCTGCCAGTCATCTCCGTCAGTCAGCCCCGTGGCACCTCAGTCTGTGGCCTCGTGCCAGCAGCGAGTCTTTAACACACCACGTGGCATAAGTGCACCTAACCTGGCGCAAGAACCGCGGTGACATCACCGCCACTTAGTGGGGAAGGGCGGTCGTTGTTGTTGTGCATACACGTCCGTGTGTGTGTACATTTGTGCAAGTACATGTGGCATCTGCTCACACCCACGTGACCGCAGAGGGAAGCGAAACCCATCAGCATCTGGGCTTCCTCACAAATATAAAAAAAACTTTTTTTCCATTTGGCGTCTTCCGCAGAGCAGACAGTGGGGGGGTGGTGGGGTGGGAACTCAACCCACGCTCCGACCCACCCACCACTGCACAGCCCAGGGGGGGACAGAGTGGTTAGCAAGTGTGTACACACTCCCGTGTGCCCCCCGTGTGCCCCCCGTGTGTCCCTGCGCATCCCTCTCCGCGTGTCACCACACACACACACAGAGACGTCCCTGTAAGTGTTCTACGCGTCCCCCTACCACCCCGAGCGGTGTCCCCCACCTTTGCGCACGCGGATGGGAATGGCGACGATGAGGGCGAGGCCGATGAGCGCCAGCACGGCGACGCCGCCCGGCACCGCCACCATGATGGTGCGGTAGAACGGCTTGCACTGGTCGCAGCACGGCACGTCTCTACAAGCGTACACACACACACACACATATCAACGTGGTCATGCACTCACACGCGCAGGGACATGCATGCACATGTACACGCACGCACAAAGATACCCCCCGGATGGCCTTAACAGACTGTCAGGGCAAGTGCTGTTAGCGAGCACCTTTGAAGGCCGGAACGGTACACGAGGGGGTGGGTGGCCAGCACCATGGGTAACGAGGTGACAAGGATGGTGGAGTGTGTGGCGAGAGCGGTGAGCGTACGACGTGAGTGTGGGGAGCATGGCGAGTGCGGTGAGTGGTGGTGAGCGTGCGTGAGTGAGTGTGGCGAGCGTAGGGCCGTACTTGCAAGGATGCAGGTTCTGTATGAGCAGCACTCCGAGGCCGTTGGACACCTTGTCTGTGAAGCTCATGGCTCCGTACACAAATGCGCCGCTTTCCTGTGCCACACACACAGTGCACGCATTAACCTCCACATGCACACAAACCCCTATACACACACTACACACTGCACACACTATACACTACACACATACTATACACTATACATCCACAGCGCATGCATTATCCTCAACACACACACTACACACACAGTTTAACACGTAGGCTTAACACTACACACACACAGCATAAACATTACACTGCACATGTTCACCCCCCCTATGCACACACTACACGCACACTCCACAATACACACATCGCACACCCTATACATTGCACACATTATACACTACACACACGCTATATACTAAATACTACACATGCTTACACACACTACACACACCACCCTAATCACATCATGGAGAGCAACGTGACGAGGATGGCGGGGGTGAGGGGGTTAGCGATGAGTCGCCGCCCCAATTAAGGACGGCCAGTATGGTGGGCAGAGACGAGGCGGTGAAGCTGGTGGAGTGTGGAGCGACGGGGTGGAGCGGCGAGGAGGAGTCACCGTGTTGGGCCCGATGAGGTCGGCCGTCATCGACAAGGAGGTGACGAGGATGGTGGAGCCCCCTACTCCAAGCAGCACGGCCGCCCCATAGACGGCATTGCCCCCCACGCCCAACCACACCCAGTCGGCAAACACCAGCACCAGCACCAGGCCCAGGAAATAGGTCATCTGTGGGGGGGGGGGGGTGTCACCAGGTCATGGGGTCAAGGGGTCACAGGACACGGTGGTGGCCAGGTCACGGGGGTCACGGGGACGTGTGACGGGGACATGGAGTCACGGGGCCATGAAGAGCATAGGGTCATGGGGTCGCAAGGCAAGTAGCCGCGATGATGTGAATGTGATGATGCAAGGATAATTATGAGTGACAATGTGATACTGTGTGATGATGATGATAATGTGATCTGTAATGGTGTGCGCTTGGTGTGATGACACAAGAGTAATTGTGTGCTGACGGCGATGTGATGGTGGTGGCGATTGTGACGATGATGCCCTAAGTTTCTGCCGGCGATGCAGTTGATTGTGATGGTGACGTGAAGGTCACGTATGTATGTAGAACTTCTTTCGCACCGTACGCAGCCAACCATGCTAATCGTAGATGCGGGGGAAGGACAACAAACTAAACACAAGAAGCAGTTCTAAAGAAAATTACGTGTTGGTGACGTGATGGTGACGATGTTGCCGTACATTTCTGCTCTCGATGCAGTTCACATGATAGTGACGTGATGGTTACATGGTGACGTGATGGTGACGTGATGGTGATGTGATGGTGGTAATGTTGCCGTACGTTTCTGCCGGCGATTCGATTGATGGGCTTCATGAGGAAGGAGGAGAGGAAGCCGCTCACGTACATCACCAGCGGGATCGTGGCGATGTAATTCTTTCCACACACGGGGGGGGGGGGGGAACAATACTATAACTAGGCCACTTCATTACCGGCACTGATCTTCAACATTAACAACCACAATCTTCACCACCATCACCGCACCACCGCCACACTATCGCTGCTCACCATCATTACCACCACTCTGTGTGTATGCGGTTGGGGAGAGATGAGGGGAGGTGGGGGAAGTAGCGGATGTGCGGGAAAGGGGGGGGGGGCTGGAGATTTTTGCAGTGAAGGGGAGGCAAGATGAGAAAGGTAGGATGTGGTGGTGGGAGGCCGGGGGAGATGGGGAAGATGGTGAGAGATAGGAGGAGGTGGTGCTGGGAGGTTGGGGGTTGGTGGTGGGAGGTGTTAGGAGGGTGATGGGGGTAGTTGGGGAAGGTGGTGGGAGTGAGGGGGAGGTAATGGGAGATAGGGGAGGTACACGGGGAGGTGGGGGGGGGAGTTGGAGGGAGGTGGTGGAAGGTGTGGGAATTAGGGGGAGGTGTTACAGGGGGGAGGGTGGGAATTAGGGGGAGGTGTTAGGGAGAGGTGTTAGGGGGAAGTGAGGGCTTGGCGGGGGGCGGGGTAGGAGGAGGATGCGAGTCGATTTGGAAGGGGGGTTCTCACCTTGTCGAGCTCCAGGCTCTCGGTGAGGGTACATGGGGATGTAGGCCTGCGACAGGTTCACGATGAGCCTCGTGCACATGTACAACAGCGCCAGCTGGGGTGGGGACGTGGGGACACAGTGGGGACAGGGACACAGGCACACGGGAACACAGCGGACATGGGGCACAGACACAGGGAGACAAGGAACATGGAGACAAGACAAAACACAGGGACAGGAGTGAGAACTGGAGGTGTACGATGACTCGGCTGTTTTAACGCTCGATCGCGACGCCTTCTCAACCTCCCCCCCTCCTCCTTCAGTGCGACGGGGAACACGGCCAGACACGATGTCCGACGTTTCACTCCACATGCCAGGAGCTTCTTTAGGAACCGAATGGAAAGAGGCTCCAGGCACGTCCAGCGAAAACGTCGGGCGTCACGCCGGACTGCGCGCGGCACAGCCCGAAAACACACGGGGGTGAGCGACGCGGCCCAAGCGCCAGACTCTTCCACAGCGTTGCTGAACTCACGCTTTCACCCTTAGTCGGCAAATCGACAAACCCACCCGTACTGTGCGGACACCGTGCTGGCCCAGCTCGGGTGTGGAAAAGGGATATCAATGGACCGGTCTCGAGGCCCTGGGACCCCAGGATAGCCGGGAACCTGGGACCATACCTGGTGGAAGGATGGCTCCTTCAGCCAATCGCTCCACTTCATGCGCATGGTGGAGCGCACGACGCCACCCTGGATGAGCGGGGTCGCCTCATCGGGCCGCTCGCCCTCCCCGTCGCCGCGGGGCGGCTGCTCCTTGGTCCCCAGGTGGAAGACGAGCGAGAAGACGGCGCCAATCGCCACGACGATGAGAACGAGGTTCTGGGGACGTGAGGAAATACACGAAACAAAGACCCAGAGGTCTCACTCAGAGATCCCGCAGGCTCACGAGGACACAACAGGAGCTGGGACCAAGAGCAAGCAGCGGAAGGCCCCCCCCCCCCCCCCCGAGTGCCGCCCCGTGGCAACGAGGGATCGGCAACACCGCGTTACCGAACCGGCGAAGCGGAGGGACACTCGTGCTGTGGACCGGGGTGAAGCGTTGGTGATCTGTAACGGTGGAGGTTGTGAACCGTGGTGCCGGATGGTGCCGAGTTGTTGAGGTGTCCGGCATAAGATTGGTGGACTGTTGCGAGGTGGCGTGGGTGGGGCGCCTTCTGGTGGATTGTGGAGGTGGTGCCGTGGGGTTGCCTCGAGACAACAAAGCCGAGAGATGACGACCAAGGGTGGGGTGAAATCACGAGTGTGCAAAACCTGCAGTGTCATCCGAATTATTTTGACTCATGGTGGGGGACTAGCTGATATCCGATAGGATATTGGGGGCGCCACTGTGGCCAGATGTTAAGTTCCTCGCCTGGTATAGAGGAGGTTGTGGGTGCGATCCCGACCCCGACGTTTTGTATATTTCGAGTTTGCCTTTTCTCCCCGTGGTGGCGTGGATTTTTCTCCGGGTCCTCCGGCGTTTTTGCCTCCACATTTAGAATCAACATCGCCACGCGTTCAGAGCGTTTGGCTGCTTTAGATTTCCACGCGGCAAGCCACTTCGTTGAGCTGTCATTCGTGATAGCCGGGCCTCTTATGAAAATGAGATATATAGCTCAGTGGGCCTTTACCTGGTAAAATAAAAAAGATATAGTTTTCCCTTATTTATATCTTGGCAAATGGTGGGGGACTTGCTGACATCCTGGAGGACATCCAACATAGCATCGGTGCGTGGCGGTGGCCGAGGAAACATTGTTGCAAGGTGCGAGCGAGTTCGGGAATGCGCTCTGGGGTAGGCGGCGTGGCGGTGGATGCGCACGCCTGCAGGCCAGCACTGTCCAGGCGAGGGTCGGTGGATCGCACACATCTTGTGAAACTCACTTCCCCATCGGCGTTGAGGTGGCCATATACCCTGGCTCTCCGGAATGCAGTACACCAAGTGCACTTTTTGCCAAATTACCGGCGAAACGTAACGGTACTCGAATTGTAAATGTTGTGGGTTTACTCTCCAACACACCGGTGTGCTGTAGTAGGAACGAATTGGCACGCTTTTGTTTAGGCAACAAACCTTACTAATTTGGCTGTGTCGGGTGGTGACGGATTTAACGACACATTGATATTTACACGATCTAACCCAAAAAGACCTATATTATGGATAAGATTGGTCACGAAAGCCCTACAATGTGAAACTAATCGCCAAACTTTTCCATTTTATACAGGGATAGAGCATTGCCCCCTCGCGTGTGTGTGTGTTTGTTTGTTTTCTCCGGCGCTACAAATCCAGCGAGCTGGGTTCGGTTCATGCTCACGGTCAACACCAGTGACGATTATCTGAACCAGTCCTGGGCCTCCCCTAGGTCAACTCAGCCTCAAACGAGTACCTGGTGCGATGTGTAAACATCGTCATTAGGGAGACAAAGGCGGTCGGGCGTTATGCTGCCCACCCACCACCTCGTGTGCCATGCCAGCCTTCATAGGTGCTCGTGAACAGCACTTGCCCCAGCAGTCTGTTCAGGCTATACGGGGGATCTTTGTCTTTGTCTTGTGTTTTTTCCGGGCGCTCCAATTTCCTCCCAATTGTACAAACTCATCAGTAACTGGCTGAAAACATCTTGGATTAAAAACCCAATGCTGGACCCTCCTGAAAAACACTCAGTGTGGCTTTCGTGGATAAATAATCAATGCATTAATCATTAATTATTGCGAGTTCGGGAATGCGCTAGGGCATAAGTGTGCGTACGTGTGTGTGTGTGCCCGTTGGTAATTCTCCAGGGTTTTTGGATAAATTCCCCTTTTTCCCCGCTCCTCGCATAGAACTAACCTACCCAGAATAAACCCGTAGGGTGGCTTGCCTACAACCTGAAGGCAAACCACCCCAAGCACATGTTGCCGAGGAATCTAAAACTAAACTATTTTTTTTATTTTACCAGGTTAAGAAGCGCAAGTCGAGCAGCCTCCTGCTACGGTTGTTATTGAGCTAATCCGGTCCATGGTGTCTGCGTCGTTACCCGCTCGGGAATTAAAGTTCACTATCCCGAGGGCGCTACTTGAGCCAGCACCTAAGACAGGGGGCCATAGAAGGCATCCAACTCATCAGCCTTGCTTGTATCTCTCCACTGAGGGTCATCTTCTCTGGGAGCATAAGTCACCACCATTCCTCACTAAATGCTGATGGGGGAGGCGAGCCCCACAGCAGAGGCTGGGACTCACAGCTTCCCTCAACCTCGCCGCTATGCTCCCTCAGCCTCGTCATTGTTTTGTTCATAAGAAGAGCCACTCCCTGTTGCTTGTCAGTTTACTCCCCCGAGTGGCACACTTATCACCCCTTGTTTGTAACTGGAGTTTCGAACCAGCCTACCGGACCTTCGATATTCCAGAGGTCCAGGCGGTACCGGTCAAGCTCCCGACAAGGGAATCGCAGCCTCTCCTACACACACACACACTAGAACCAGTCCACCGGATCCTCCTGCATTTCAAAGAGGTCCAGGCGGTACCAGTAAAGCTCCCGTATGGGGAATGACAGCAAGCACACACACACACAAAGAGAACAAAGATCCCCCATGTAGCCTTAGCAGACTGTTGGGGTAGGTGCTGTTAGCGAGCACACGAGGGTGTGGGTGGCCAGCAACACGCCCGGTCACCTTTGCTTCCCTCGTGGCGATGTTTACACACCGCACCAGGTACTCAGTCAAGGCTGAGTCGCCCTAGGGGAGGCCTGGAACCGGTTCAGATAATCGTCAATGGTGTTGGCATTGAGAAGAAATCGAACTTTGGTCGCCGGGTTCGTAGCAGAGCACGCTAATCGCCACACTACCACTTCCTACACACACAAACACACATAACAACCGCCATTCGCCACTAAGTGGCGGTCACCACGACGCTTGTGCCAGGCCATGTGCACCTTGAGGCCACGTGAAGTGTTGAATGCCCGCTGGCAGGAGGTCACGGGGCAGACCCAAGTGCCACGGGTCGACTGACTGAGATGACTGAGATGGCTGGCTGATGCACCACCTGTGCCCCCTACTGTGCCAACCTGCTGTGCTTTAGCCACCCGGCGCTCCGCTCGTTGTTGCGAGCGTCGCTCCTCCGCCTTCCGTTGTTGTTGGAGGGCGAATGCCTCCAACTGCCCAGTAGCGTCCTTCACGAGCCTCCTCCACAGAGGCCGATCTTGACACCGCTGGTACCAGTCATCGGCAAGTCCACTCAGCTCCACGTCCTCCTGTACCACATCACTCAATCTCTTCTCTAGCCCGTGCCGCGCCCGTTTAGCACCCTCGATCCGGCCGAACAAAAGCTGTTTCGGCATGCGGTGGCTGGGCATGCGGGCTACATGACCCAGCCAACGCAGCCTTGCCTGCCGGAGGAGCTCACCGATGGGACCTTGCCCAGATCTTTCAAGGATTTGTGAGCTCCTCACACAATCCAGCCTGGTTAAACCCAGGATGGATCGTAGGCAGGCTAGCCTAAATGTTTCTAACCGGCGAAGATGTTCCATTAGGGGGGTCCACGTTTCGCAAGCGTAGAGAAGAGAGGGACCGTGGCCGAGAAGACCTGAAGCTTAGTGCGGAACGACAGACCAGGTACAGAGGGAAAAAAGTATTTGAGCCCCTGCTGAATTTGTACGTTTGCCCACTGACAAAGAAATTATCAGTCTATAATTTTAATGGTAGGTTTATTTGGACAGTGAGAGACAGAAAAACAACAAAAAAATCCAGAAAAACGCATATCAAAAACTTTTATAAATTGATTTGCATTTTAATGAGGGAAATAAGTATTTGACCCCTCTGCAAAAGATGACTTAGTACTTGGTGGCAAGACCCTTGTTGGCAATCACAGAGGTCAGACGTTTCTTGTAGTTGGCAAAAAGGGTTTGCACACATATCAGGAGGGATTTTGTCCCACTCCTCTTTGCAGAGCTTCTCCAAGTCATTAAGGTTTCGAGGCTGACGTTTGGCAACTCGAACCTTCAGCTCCCTCCACAGATTTTCTATGGGATTAAGGTCTGGAGACTGGCTAGGCCACTCCAGGACCTTAATGTGCTTCTTCTTGAGCCACTCCTTTGTTGCCTTGGCCATGTGTTTTGGGTCATTGTCATGCTGGAATACCCATCCACGACCCATTTTCAATTTCCTGGCTAAGGGAAGGAGGTTCTCACCCAAGATTTGATGGTACATGGCCCCATCCATTGTCCCTTTGATACGGTGAAGTTGTCCTGTCCCCTTAGCAGAAAAACACCCCCAAAGCATAATGTTTCCACCTCCATGTTTGACGGTGGGGATGGTGTTCTTGGGGTCATAGGCAGCATTCCTCCTCCTCCAAACAAGGCGAGTTGAGTTGATGCCAAAGAGCTCCATTTTGGTCTCATCTGACCACAACACTTTCACCCAGTTATCCTCTGAATCATTCAGATGTTCATTGGCAAACTTCAGACGGGCATGTATATGTGCTTTCTTGAGCAGGGGGACCTTGCAGGCGCTGCAGGATTTCAGTCCTTCACGGCGTAGTGTGTTACCAATTGTTTTCTTGGTGACTATGGTCCCAGCTGCCTTGAGATCATTGACAAGATCCTCCCGTGTAGTTCTGGGCTGATTCCTCACCGTTCTCATGATCATTGCAACTCCACGAGGTGAGAACTTGCATGGAGCCCCAGGCTGAGGGAGATTGACAGTTCTTTTGTGTTTCTTCCATTTGCGAATAATCGCACCAACTGTTGTCACCTTCTCACCAAGCTGATTGGCAATGGTCTTGTAGCCCATTCCAGCCTTGTGTAGGTCTACAATCTTGTCCCTGACATCCTTGGAGAGCTTTTTGGTCTTGTCCATGGTGCAGAGTTTGGAATCTGATTGATTGCTTCTGTGGACAAGTGTCTTTTATACAGGTAACGAGCTGAGATTAGGAGCACACTCTTAAAGGGAGTGCTCCTAATCTCAGCTTGTTACCTGTATAAAAGACACCTGGGAGCCAGAAATCTTTCTGATTGAGCGGAGGTCAAATACTTATTTCCCTCATTAAAATGCAAATCAATTTATAACATTTTTGACATGCGTTTTTCTGGATTTTGTTGTTGTTATTCGGTCTTTCACTGTTCAAATAAACCTACCATTAAAATTATAGACTGATCATTTCTTTGTCAGTGGGCAAACGTACAAAATCAGCAGGGGATCAAATACTTGTTTCCGTCACTGTAGCTTCCACACAGCGTTATGCAACCGATGAAAAGATATTGTCGCTCGACTGATTCGCAGTGAGATCTCTGCTGTTAAACTGGAGCCGGTCATAAGCACACTGCCCAGGTATGGGAAACTCTCCACTCTCTCCACAACTGCCCCATCACCGATTGGGAGTTGTGGGGGTGGAGTGTCCGATGGTACAAAATACCCAGGCAGGTGCTTAGTTTTGGTGGGGCTGATGGTAAGGCCCCATCTCTTAGTGGCACGCTCCAGTCTCAGCAGCAGCGTCTCCAACTCCTCCTCTGAATGAGCAGCTATTACCAAATCATCGGCATACATAACATGGTTGAGCAATAGGGAGCCATCCCTTGACCGCACCCGGGCATCGATCAGCCTCCCATTATATCTGTACCAAATGGAGATTCCCCCGGTACAGCTATTGAAGGCTTCACGAACTACGTGGTCAAAATAGATGTTAAATAATGTGGGAGCCAGAGGACATCCCTGTCGCACCCCAAGGTGTACAGGGAATGGCTCCGACTCTCGGCCACGTAGTTTTACCCGGGTCCGCTCACCATCATGAAGGTCCTTAATGATCGTGAGCAGAGGGTCAGGGACTCCAAAAGCACGAAGAACAACCCAGAGCCCAGGCCTACTGATGGTATAATAGGCCTTGACCAGGTCAATAAAGCAGAGATGTAGGTCTTGTTGGAATTCCCTAAACCTCTGCTGTAGCAGACGGACAGAAAATATGGCATCTGTGCAGGATCGCCCTTTCCTGAAACCGCATTGGGGCTCTGCAAGCCTCTCCTCAGCGTACCTGGCAAGACGATGTTGAATAATCCTTGCCAGGACCTTTCCCGGCACACTGAGGAGTGAGATGTCCCTGTAGATGTTAGTCTGTGCGGTTCCCCTTCTTAAAAGAGGGGGACCACCAGGGCATCCTTCCAATCCTGCGGAACCCGTCCAGTCGTCCAGACTGTTGTTATGATGTCATATAGGGCAGTCTGTGCACAAACGCCACCCTCCTTCAGCATTTCGCTTGGGAGATCATCTCTGCCCGCTGCCTTTCCTGGTCTCACACTCCGGATCGCCTTCAGTACTTCCTCAACAGATGGCACCTCAGCCAGCCACTCATAGGGGGTGACTTCTTCCAATATTTGAGGAACCGCAGCCTCAGCAGGGTAATCCTCACTTTGTGCCACGATGTTTTCCTGGCTGAGGGATTTTCCCTCCCCCAGGACCTCACAGAAATGCTCAGCAAATCTGAAAACCTGTTCCTGGGGGTCGGAGATTAGATCACCGTTTTTTCCCCTAATGATGGTAATAGGTGTGGTGCTGCAGGTTACTTTTTTGATGGGGTTAAATAGAGATTTGTGATCGCGGTCCACTGAGGCAGACTCCATCTCCTCAGCAACCAAACACACACAGACAGACAGACAAACACACACACAGACACACACAGACACACTGGCCGCACCCTGAAGATGGCACCGTCCTCGGGGCCAAGGTCGGCGCCCAGGTCCTCCTTGTTGGCCTGGAAGTGGAAGAGCAGCCAAGCGATGCCGAACACCAGGATGTTGGCGCATACCGTGAACGCGTACCTGGAACGCGGCACACCGGCAGCACATGGTCACACCAGCGGCACGACACTCAGCACACGCAAGACACAGATCTCACCCCCCCTTCCCCCCCCCCCCCGGTTAGACTGAACAGACTGTTGGGGCAAGTGCTGTTAGCGAGCACCTATGAAGGCCGGTACAGCACACAAGGTGGGTGGGTGGCCAGCAGCACGCCCGTCCGCCTTTGTCTCTCCAGTGGTGATGTTTACACACCGCTCCAGGTACTAATTTTTGAGGCCGAGTCGACCTAGGGGAGGCCCAGGACCGGTTATGCTAATCGTCACCGGTGTTGGTGGCCGTCAACGAGAATCAAACTCGGAGCACACACGTGTGTGGTCGAGCAACGGAGTCGCCATGGAACGGCACCACGGCTCAACTGCAGCAAACACAACGAAACATCCACAGCACTCAACACAACCGAGACCCCACTGCTCGGAGCCCGGTCCCACCACGTTTGAAGCAGAGCCGTTGTGACGTCACACATCGCGGCAGCGCCCAGAATCCGACAGGTGGAAGGTCACGGGGGGGGAGGGGTAAAAGACGTGATAGGTGTGGTGGGGGGCACGTGAGGAGCGTGGGAAGTGTGGGGGGGGGGCACGTGTGAGTACCGTGACAAGGCAGAACCTTGCGGAAGCGCTCAGGTCACGCAGCTGTAAACTTCACACGGGCGCTTTACTGTGCTTAGCGTAAATCATCACAAAGTTCTCACACCTCGCGGTCACCCTCACCACACCTCCACTCACGCATTCAAGTACGCCCCGCTCCTAAATCACTCGCCGTCACGCATCAAACAGTCACCGCTCGCACGTGTTCACCCTCGCATCTCTACCGCTCGCCCCAACCCCACCGCTCGAGTCTACACTGACCCTCATCTCCAACCTCACTCCACCACTCACCCCTCACATCTACCCTCACAACCCGGCCCTCACCCTCCCTCGTGCACCTACCCTCACATATATATAACGGCACCCAAAGGTACGGTACTGCTCAGAAACGGCAGGAAGGCGCGACCTCCATCCTTACGCGCTTGCGAGCGCGTCACCCGCATTGCACGAACAACGCTCCCAGCCTTCTCACAACTCCGCTCGGCCCTCGCCCGCCACCCCCTCCGACGTCGCCCCCTCACCTGTACGCGGTGAGCTCCACCTTCTCGCCATCGTTGGTGGCGAGCTCAGGGATGATGGAGAGGTGCGAGATCTGCGTGGCCGCCCAGCCGAACTGGAAGATGATGACGAGCGGCAGGAAGTAGAGCAGCTGGGCGTACTCGGGGGTGAACTCCGAGCAGCCGAGGCAGTGCAGGTAGATGAAGGGGAAGGACACGAGCACACTGACCGTGCCTGCACCCCACGCGCCACGCCGCCGTCACCGCCGCCACAACCACGACCGCCAACACCGGTCCAGCCACCCCGATCGCTGTCGCCACCATTTTTCCAAACTGCTACCACACCAACTACCTCCCCAACTGCTACAAGCCATCCTGGTGATCCCAGGATCACCCTCTTGTTGAGCGAGGTAGCTGCTGCTCCTGCTGTCGTCCTGGGAAATCTGTAACTCTTCTGGGGACATCAATAGTCCCATGTTTTGTCGGTTTCATCATAATAATGATGGTGGTGGTGGTAGTGGTACGCCACTCAAGACATTGATGCATACACAAGTCGCTCACCGCTCCTCCACTATTGAGAGACAGTGTTCTTCCTCTTCCCACGAAGAGGTGGCAAAAACCCCACCTGCCACCAGCACACCAACCACAACCACCGCTACCACCATTGCCATCTTCACCCTCGAGCAACGGGGGCGGAGCAAAACGCGTGGCAACGAGCGTGCAACTGGGAATCATGTCGCAGGTGGAGGGGGCGGTGACGTGTTCCAGCGGTAGCGCCGTTCATCGCTTGTTGAAGACATTCGTGGTTCGAATCCGGCAGGCAGCCCTGGTTAATACTGCCGGTGTATTAACCGTAAACATTACTACACACCGAAAAAATAAGATTTACTCTTTCTGGCGACAAAACAGTTAAGATGTTCAAACACCAAATAGACACCTTTTGCAAGGAATTAAGTCTGCATTAACCACACGTACTTGTGGTGAACATGCAAACACAACATACTCTGATAATAAATGGCATTGTCTTTGAAACTGATTGGCCTACAGCAGAGACAGCCTTCTTTATAGCCAAGTCTCACCAGCGTCAGACCACAGAACGCCAAACTACTTTTTTGGCGTTCTCTGGTCTGGCTCTGCTGTAGGCCAATCAGTTTCAAAGACAGTGCATCAATTATCAGAGCATGATTGCATGTTCAAAAGGTGTGTATTTCGTGTTTGAATATCTTAACACCCGTTTTATTGCCATAAAGGGTAAACTCTATTCTTATTCGTCATATTTTGATACTGGCAAAAAAGGTCCCATGAAATTACTCTGTGCCATCTGCTTCGAAGTGGACAATAAAGATCCCGCCATGAAATTCTAAGAACAGTAGGTAATTGTGTACTGGCCTCACGATACAAATGTGAAGAATTACTTACAAATTACTTGGCCCATATGAGATACATTGCCCATACTGTAATAACTTGGCAGGGAAATAACATAGAAGCATTGCCCTGACTGTAAAAAAAACTTGGCAGGACCCTCCTAGCATAAGCATAAGAATATTACATCAGAGCCCAGGGCACCCATAAGGAGTAGCTATGGTTAGGGTAACACAATTGGCTTTCAGTGATTTGTGAACTTCCACAGAGCCTAACCTCCGGAGCTTCATGGGCAGTCCTATGAACCGTATTTTGTGGACAAACTCACCTGAAAGTGTGATGCTGAGAGATGGCCCAGGGTTATAATTCGATTTTTAAAAAATCTCTTTAATCTCATTTGTACTATCTGGCTCATTGTATGGTCAAACTCGTTTGTATTGTGCAACGTCTTTGTTCAGTGCTGTTGCCTAAAGCGAATATTTGTGTAAATTTGTTTATTTTTAAGTCATAATTACTCAAACACGGAACATTAATTTCACACGGGCAGGCCAAAGTGGGGAGCGTGAGAGGTTGATTTAAATCGATGAATCGATCGACGCATGTCTAAAGAACGAGCTCACGCAACAATCCTCATGATTGACCACCAGAAACTCCTACAGAGAGACCCACTGACTTACATGGAGACCCATAACCCTACAGAGACCCACAGACTTACACAGAGACCCACAGATTTATACAAAGACCCCACAAATTTACATGGAGACTCATAAGCTCACATACAGCCCCACAGAATTACATAACGATCCAACGACATACACAGACCGATATTTAAATAGACCAGTAGACCTACAAAGATTCCCCAGAGTTCTAAAAAAACAGACCCACAGACTATATAGAAACGCCACTGGCTCCTACCAGCCAACAAGACTCATAAAGTGACACAGATGGCTGCCCAGATAAGCGCCCAATGAAGGTTAAACTGTCTTTGTCTTTAGGGATTTCTTGTCTCTTACCAGACGGAAAATACCGGCTTCCTAGAGTTGACATTTAGCTTGATGACTTTGTGCATAGATTTCTCGAGCCAGATCAGGGGCCCAAGGGCGCCATCACAGAGGGATTCCTGCCCCTCCCCTCATTGGGGTCTCACGGGGGGTGGATTCTGGTCCAGTGGGGTTCATGTCCCTCTCATGGCTGGGGTCTCACAGGGGAGATTTATGTTTCCCTGGGGTCCCCAACATTCCTCTCTGGCTACGGTCCCACAGGTGAACCCTGTTCCAATGGGGTACCTGTTTCCGCACCTCCGATGAGCATGGTTGGCTACGTATGGTACCAAAGAAGTTCAACATACGTTCCACTGCTATCCCCGTACCTAAGGTAGCTTGGGTCCCACTCGTGCCCCTATCCCACCGGTGCCCTCCATCCCATCCCCTGAGCGGGATCTCAGAGCAAGGGGACTCCCCCCTTCCTAGTGAGTGCCTCTATCCCATCCTATGCATCTGAACTGATTGGCCCCCTCAACCACCAGGTCGTGCCACCCACCAAAGATTCCCCGTGTAGCCTTAACAGACTGTAGGGGCAAGTGCTGTATAGCGAGCACCTATGGAGCCCCGAACGGCAACCGAGAGGGTGGGTGGCCAGCACCACGCCGGGCCGCCTTTGTCTCCCCAGTGGCGATGGTTTTTGCACTTTCCACCAGGTACTCAATTGAACCAGAGTCGACCTCGGGGAGGAGGACAAGGCCCGGTTGAGAGAATGTTCACTGGCGTTGGTGGCCGTGTGCGCGAAATCGAACTCGGGTCGCCCGGGCACACTACCGCCCCCCCCAGAGACACACCCAGCCCCCCACAGAGACACACCAACGCCACCCCCAGAGACACACCCAGCCCCCCACAGAGACACACCAACGCAGCCCCCCACAGAGACACACCAACGCCACCCCCCACAGAGACACACCAACGCAGCCCCCCACAGAGACACACCAACGCAGCCTCCCCCACAGAGACACAACAACGCAGCCCCCCATAGAGACACACCAACGCAGCCCCCCCACAGAGACACACCAACGCAGCCCCCCACAGAGACACACCAACGCAGCCCCCCACAGAGACACACCAACGCCACCCCCCACAGAGACACAACAACGCCACCCCCCACAGAGACTCACCCAGCCCCCCACAGAGACACACCAACGCAGCCCCCCCACTGAGACACACCAACGCAGCCCCCCCACAGAGACACACCAACGCCACCCCCCACAGAGACACACCAACGCAGCCCCCCACAGAGACACACCAACGCAGCCCCCCACAGAGACACACCAACGCCACCCCCCACAGAGACACAACAACGCCACCCCCCACAGAGACTCACCCAGCCCCCCAAAGAGACACACCAACGCAGCCCCCCCAGAGACACACCAATGTAGCCCCCCACAGAGACACACCAACGCAGCCCCCCCCCCCCCCCCCCCCCCCCACAGAGACACACCAACGCCACCCCCACAGAGACACACCAACGCCACCTCCACAGAGACACACCAACGCAGCCCCCCCACAGAGACACACCAACGCAGCCCCCCACAGAGACACACCAACGCGGCCCCCCACAACCCCAGGGGATCGCTTACCCACAAGGTGCCACGTCTTGCGGCGGCCGTAGGCGCAGGCTGCGAGCGAGCGGTCCGACTCGTAGCCGATGAGCGGCGTGCAGAGGCCGTCGGCCGCCTGGCCCACGGCGAGCACGACGCCCGCGGACGCGTTGCTGAAGCGCAGCACGTTGTGGAAGTAGACGAGGAGGTAGGTGAACCACATGGACGCGCACAGGTCGTTGAGCACGTGCCCCACGGCGTAGCACAGCTTCGTGGAGGCGCTCAGCGGGGTGCGATCGGCCATGGTCGTTGGTTGTGGCTAGTTGTGGTGGTGGTTGGTAGTAGTGGTGGTTGGTAGTGGTGGTGGTAGTAGTGGTGGTGGTAGTGGTGGTTAGTAGTAGTGGTAGTAGTGGTGGTTAGTAATAGTGGTGGTTGGTAGTAGTAGTGGTGGTTAGTAGTAGTGGTGGTAGTAGTAGTGGTGGTTGGTAGTAGTGGTGGTGGTAGTAGTGATTGGTAGTAGTGGTGGTTAATAGTGGTGGTGGTTAGTAATAGTGGTGGTTGGTAGTAGTTAGTGGTGGTAGTAGTAGTGGTGGTGGTAGTAGTGGTGGTTCGAGTGACTGAGTAGTCGGTGCTTCCCCTGTATTCACAGTGCACCTAGCCTGGCACAGGCGCGGCGTGTGGCTATTGACGGCGGCTGCTGCTGCTGTTCGTATCGGTGGTGGTCCCCGTGGTCCCGCCGTTAGTCCGGGATTACTCTCCAGAGGAGAGTCGTCCTTACACACGTTCCCGTACCGAGGCGCTTTTATTGCCCCGTGGTCGGGTGACGAGCGTGATGCTGATGATGCTGCTGCTGCTGTTGTCGAGACTTCTTCATGTCGGTGTGACCGCCTCCGCTACTTCGCCAGGGGAGGAGGGAGCGGAGGGAGGCGGTGCGGGGTCCGCTCCCCGGTCAATGAATGACGGAAACCCGCGGCGCTCCGATCCCTCCCGTGCGGAGTCGGGGACCTCTCGGACCCGGCGCGTGACCGCGGGACACGCGCCGCTCGTGACCGGCCACTGGGGAAGGCGGGGGGGGGGGTACCGGGCGGAGCCTGAAGCGGCCCCGCGGGGCGGTGTGGGGGGGGTGTTTGGAAGGCACCGGGGTCCCGAAAGGGTTCCGGGGGTATGAGGGAACCCAAGTTGTAGAGGTCCCTGGTCTGCGCTGCTGGAATCTTGGCTGCTGGAATCTTGACGTCTGCGGGTCCTTGAAGGGAACTGGCAATCGGGATCGCGGTTCCAAGCGAGGTCTCCTCCTATCCGCACAAACCCTTACTGGAAAACCCCACAAATTAGTCGGGGGACTCCCGGTGCCCCTCATAAAGTCCCCCGCGGGCTGGGGTCACCGTCAGCGGGTAGGGGATCCAGGCGAGCTGTGGGGGAGCGCGGGTCTAAGAGACCAGGCCGCATCGGCCACCGGCGTCGCGTGCTCGTAGGTGGGGACCTTATGACGTCACGTGTTTATGGGCGGGAGCAATGTGGGTGACGTCACGCGCACAAATTGATACATGACGTCATTCGTGGATGCCCCGCTCTCTCGTGTGACGTCATCGCGCCAAGGGCCATTTAAATATAGAGGCAAAGGCGCAGCCCTTCAATGTCAGACGTCTTGGTTCTTTCGGTAAAGTCATGTAGAATGGAAATAAAATAATAAAAATAAAACATCATGTTATTTATTATTTTATTATGTTTAATTTTTATTATTTTATTTCCATTCTACGTGGTGACTTTACCGAAAGAACCAAGAAGATGAATCCCTGCAGTCACGAAATGTTTAAATCGAAATTTAATGTCAGACGTCTTTGAGAAGAGGTTGGTGGGAATACAGCGCCCACGCTTGGCCCCACCACACCGACTAAACTGCGGTGCACCCATCTGTGCTGCCGCGTGGACACTTGCAGCTTGCACCATTGTTTCGGCTGCCGCGCCGAGCGATCGAACCATCTATGGGGAGCATACAAGTACAGTCGCAACCATGGATGTCTGCGCTGCCCTCTGCTGCCCACCACGTAACCCCCTGTAAATAAGCGGCAGCAGCAGCCTATAACACCTGTTATGCATGGCGGTTGTCCGTGCAAACCGGCTACTTCTGCATCACTTCAAGTCCATCGTGTTCGAGCCATGGCACCGCGCTGTGTAACGCCCATACGCAGCGCCGCACAAACAGCAGACAGAGACTTATACGGGACTGTAGTGGGGCAGCGCAGGCTGTGGTGGGGGACACCTGTGTCTCCCTCCCCCCCCCCACCTGTGTCCCCCCCCCCACCTGTCCCCCCTCCACCTGTGTCCCCCCCCCACCTGTGTCCCCCCCACCTGTGCCCCCCCCACCTGTGCCGCCCCCACCTATGTCCCCACCAACCTGAACCCCCCCCCCACCTATGTCCCCCCCCACCTATGTCCCCCCCTCACCTGTGCCCCCCCCACCTGTGTCCCCCCCCACCTGTGTCCCCCCCCACCTGTGCCCCCCCACCTGTGCCCCCCCACCTGTCCCCCCCACCTATGTCCCCCCCACCTGTGTCCCCCCCACCTGTGCCCCCCCACCTGTGTCCCCCCACCTGTGTCCCCCCCACCTGTCCCCCCCCCCCACCTATGTCCCCCCCCACCTGTGCCCCCTCCCACCTGTGCCCCCTCCCACCTGTGCCCCCCCACCTGTGCCCCCCCCACCTGTGCCCCCCCCCACCTGTGCCCCCCCCACCTGTGCCCCCCCACCTATGTCCCCCCCAACCTGTGTCCCCTCCCACCTGTGCCCCCCCACCTGTGCCCCCCCACCTGTGCCCCCCCACCTGTGCCCCCCCCCACCTGTGCCCCCCCACCTGTGTCCCCCCCAACCTGTGCCCCCCCCACCTATGTCCCCCCCCACCTATGTCCCCCCCCACCTGTGCCCCCCCACCTGTGCCCCCCACCTGTGTCCCCCCCCACCTGTGCCCCCACACCTGTCCCCCCCCACCTATGTCCCCCCCCACCTATGTCCCCCCCCCACCTGTGCCCCCCCCCACCTGTGTCCCCCCCACCTATGCCCCCCGCGCTTCCCTGCCCATACAAAAGACAAAGATACCCCTTTAGCCTTAACAGACTATTGGGGCAAGTACTGGTAGCGAGCACCTATGAAGGTCGGCACGGTACACAAGGAAGTGGGTGGCCAGGAATACGCCCGGCCGCCTTTGTCTCCCTAGTGGCGATGTTTACACACCGCACAAGGTACTCATTTGAGGCGGAGTCGACCTAGAGGAGGCCCAGAACCGGTTCAGATAATCGTCACCGGTGTTGGCCGTGAGCGGGAATCGAACTCGGGTCGCCGGGTTCGTAGCGCAGCGTGCTAACCGCTACACCCACTCATGCACAAACTACCACTCACCTGCCTACACACCACTCACCTGCCTACACACCACTCACCTGCCTACACACCACTCACCTGCCTACACACCACTCACCTGCCTACACACCAAGCCGCTCACCTGCCTACACACCACTCACCTGCCTACACACCACTCACCTGCCTACACACCACTCACCTGCCTACTCACCGCTCACCTGCCTACACACCGCTCACCTGCCTACACACCGCTCACCTGCCTACACACCACTCACCTGCCTACACACCGCTCACCTGCCTACACACCAAGCCGCTCACCTGCCTACACACCGATCACCTGCCTACACACCGCTCACCTGCCTACACACCAAGCCGCTCACCTGCCTACACACCGCTCACCTGCCTACACACCAAGCCGCTCACCTGCCTACACACCGCTCACCTGCTTACACACCGCTCACCTGCCTACACACCACTCACCTGCCTACACACCAAGCCGCTCACCTATCTACACAATCACTCACCCGTCCACACCACCACTCACCACTTTACGTACGCCTCTCACCTGTCCACCCACACACCACCCTCACCTGGCCACGTCTCTCACCTGTACACACACTTCACCTGTGCACGCTTCTCACCTGCCTGCTCCTCACACCTGTCCCTACACACACCATGTGAGTCGATGGGTCTCTACAGTACCTGACCACACACACACACACCACTCACTGTCCGCACCCCGCTCACCTGTCCGAACACACTCACCCCACCCCTCACCTGTCGTATGAATGCCTGTATGTTGAACTTCTTTCGCACCGTACGTAGCCAACCGTGCTAATCACTTTTCCACGCACAAAAGCACCCGCCCCAGCACTCACCTGTCCGCTACCCCCGCTCACCTGTGGGTACGCACTCAACCCCGGCGGGCTCACCTGTACGCGGTGAGCTCCACCTTCTCGCTCTGCGTGTGCGCGAGCTCGGGGATGAGCGCCAGGTGAGACACCTGCACGGCGGCCCACGCCACCTGGCTGAGCACGATGAAGGGGGCGTAGTACCCCAGCAGCGTCCCCTCCTGGGGGGCCACCCCGCATGCGAGGCACGACGCGAACGTGAAGGGGAACGTGAGCGTCAGGAGCACCGTGCCTGGCACCACGGCGGCGGTGGTGGGGGAGGGGGTCGGAGGGACGGACACGATGGGGGGGGGGGGTAGAGGGAGGGGGTTACGGAGGCATGGGTTTGGTGGAGACACGGAGTGGAGGGAGGGGAGGTATGGAGGCAATAGGAGGGTACGGGCAGGGGGGGCAGTGGGGGGCACGGGGACACGGAGGGATAGATGGGGGCACGGCAGGGGTAGAGGTTGCGTAGGGGACACGGGGTGGGGGGAGGGGGTGATAGGGGGGGGCACCGGGATGGGATACGGGGAGGGGACACGGCGGGACAAGTGGGGGGACCCGGGGGAGGGGGGGGGCACGGGCAGGGTGAGACGTGGGGATGCACGGGGGAGAGAGGGGGGCAGGAGAAGGCGGATCCTGGAGGTGACACGGGGACATGAGGCGGGCATGGGGGCGTCACAGGGATGGGACGCGGGGGCGAGTGGGGGGGGTTACGCAGGGACAAGGGGATACGGGAGGGGGTCAAGGGGATACGGGGGGGGGGGGGTCAAGGGGATAGGCGTTTTTGGGCGGGTGGACACAGAGCCACGGCGGATAGCTCCTCCTTGGGACTGGCGCCTATACGTGAGCGGACTCGTACAGACCTCGGGAATTAAATTCCTTACCAAGGGAGTCGTAGCCCTACGCAGAGAGTAACAGAAACGCATAGGCTCACAATGGTGAACATACTCTGGTAAACATTGAGACCCACAGACTCACCCCCAGATCCATAGACTCACAGAGACCCATCGACTTATACATCGACCCATCGATTGACACTCGCCTTTTGCCCGCCCAAGGACGGGTGTATTGCAGTAAATGTGAAACTTGCAAGCGAAAAGCAGAGCGCGACGTGATATACATTGCATCCATTCGTGTGCAATTTGTAAGGCCGTGGTGACTCAGACCTATTTCATATTTTGACTTACAACTTTCGTGACTGCAGGAATTCATACAACTTGGTTCTTTCGGTAAAATCACGTAGATAGAAAAATAAAAATAAAGTGAATAAAAATAATAAATAAACATTAATGAACACTGTAGCCTGGTTCTTAACCTTGGTGAGTGTACTGGCAGTCTATAATGTAGACTGTAGCAATGGTTATTAAGCTGAGTGAGTGTGTTGGCAATCTTTAATGTAGACTGTAGCCTGGTTATTAACCTGGGTGAGTGTACTGATAGTCTATAATGTAGACTCTAGCCTGGTTATTAAGCTGAGTGAGTGTACTGGCAGTCTATAATGTAGACTGTAGCCTGGTTATTAAGCTGAGTGAGTGTACTGGCAGTCTATAATGTAGACTGTAGCCTGGTTATTAAGCTGAGTGAGTGTGTTGGCAATCTTTAATGTAGACTGTAGCCTGGTTATTAAGCTGAGTGAGTGTACTGGCAGTCTATAATTTAGACTCTAGCAATGGTTATTAAACTGAGTGAGCGCACTGGCAGTCTATAATGTAAGTTATTTCAGTAATTTTTTATGTAATTTTTTATTCACTTTATTTATTATTATGGTTCTATCTACGTGACTTTACCGAAAGAACCAAAGAATATAAACTTATTTCATTTAAAGGTTATAATCCCTTGTTCATCATGACGTCCTTTTTACTTCGATGTCTCAACAGCGTTACGGAGATCACGTGACGTGAGGGTTCTGCCTTTGTAGTGAGGGTTGTGAGTTGACGCTGAGGAGGGGGGAGGAGGCGCCTCGCCCCCCCCATGTGGAGTGACGTCACCTGTTCATGATTATTAATGAGGGGGGCTGATCGACGTTGACTGACGTCACGCGCGGGACACACAGACAGTAAATGGAGACAGAGGCTCACATCGACTTACTTAAACACCCATTCATAAAGAGATCTATGTACTCAGATATCCAAAGACGTACATAGAGATCCATCGATTCACATTCAGACTTAGAAATTGATGTATGTGCAATGAAGGTCTATTGCTCGAAACGTCGTCTTCAACAGGGGTGCCAACCTCCCCCCACCCCCCAACAGGTGACCCCCTCCCCCTTTTCCCTCTCACCTCCAACTTCCATCTCCCTCCCCCCTCCATTCTCCATCAGCTCTAACCCCCCCTTCCCACCAACCAAAAAACAAGTGCCCCCCCCAATAAGTGTGTGCCCCCCCTTTTCCAACACCACGTGCGCCACCATGGGTGGAGATTGCAGGGGGGCACGGGGGGGCAACTCCCCGTCCAAAACTTGGCACCTTTATTAATTTATTTTCAGTCGTTTACAATTAAGATTAAAAAATTTTACATGCGCCCGAGATTCAGAATGTGAGCGGCAAAGCCAACCCCTACCCCCCAATATAGAGGTCAAACTCCGCCTGTGCGTGCCACGCTACCCCCAGCTCCTACCCCTCGACACTGTTCTGTCTCTAGTTCCCTCTCCACCCAACAGGGGGGCGCCTCCCCTCTATCCCCCATCCTCTCTTGCCCCCCCCCCACGTAACACAGGTGCTCACCTTTCCTCCGACAGGTGCGCCAACCTCCCCAGTCTCTCCCCACCCAACAGGGGTGCCCCTCCCCTCCCTCCACATCCCCCCCCCCTCCATCTGCTCCCCCATTCGCGCCCTCCCCCATTAACTCCACACCGCCCCTGCCCTCACCCAGGAGGTGCCAACTCTTGCGCCGAGCCGCGCCGGGGATCGCGGGCGCGCGGTCCGCGGCGATTCCGACGAGCGGCGTGGCGAGGCCGTCGGCCACCTGGCCCAGCAGCACGAGGAGGCCCGCGCCGGGCGAGCCGATGCCGGCCACGCCGTGCAGGAACGCGAGGCCGTAGGTGAACCACGTCGCGGCGCACACGTCGTTGAAGAAGTGGCCGCCGGCGAAGGCGAGCCTGGAGGCCAGGGTCAGGCGGCCCAGGGGTTCGGTTGCAGGGGCCGCCGTCATGGGCGCTCGGAAGATGGGGGTCCCATCAGGACCCCCCATTGTACGGGGGACTCGCGGGGGAGCGGCCGAGGGTGGTGGTGGTGGTGGCGGTGGGCGGCGTTGATGGAGCAGCGGAAGCGATGGCGATGGAGAGCGGTGGATCGGAAGGGATCTGAAGCCCTGAGGAGACCTGGAGCCCTGAGGCTGAACCACACCTGGGCGATTAGATGCGCGACCCGAGTCGCTCCGACAGCCGGTCAACTTCAATCGCCTGCGACTGCGCGCTCATCGGTAGCGCGCAGCGGCGTCGCTCCCCACGTTTGCCTCGCAAGTGCCCGAGTGCCGTCTGCGCCCACTCGCGAAAGCAAAGCGGCCGGGTTGCGCGAGACGTCCACACGCACGAGGCGATCCGCTCGCACGCAAACAACCCCCCCGCCGCCGCTCTCACGCCGCCCGCTATCCCGCTCACCCTGCGCAGAGTGGGGGGGGGGGGCCTGGATAGAGGGGAAACGGCGCAGCAGGGGACCCAAGAGGGAGGCAGGGGGAGGGGGGGCTGCATAAAAGGGGCGGCGGTGGGGGGGGGGCACTGGGCAGATGGACGCGTCGATCAAATGCGAGTGGGCCATGGAGCGACTTCATTTATAGGAGCGCTCCCCCCCATCCCGCCCCTTATACCCCCCTCCCAATCTCCTCCCACCAACGGAGCGCCTAGGGGGTAAAAGTGACACGGGTCCCCAGAATGCGCCGAGTTTGTTTGTTTGTCGAACTCGGCGCGAGCCTCTAATGAATCGCGCATCCTCGGCTCCGTGTTAATTGAGAGACGGGGGAGGGGGGGGAGGGGTTGTGGCTGGGGGGGGGGAGACGTCCTCGGCCGAGAGGGTCAGAGGTCATTGACCCCCTCCCTGCTGATAACCCAGGGACCCAGGGCCGCGTTCTTTTGCCTCGCCATGGCCCGCACTGGACCCTTTACTCACGAGGCCCGTACGGCCGCAGAGCCTTAGGGGTCCCGGCGAGGAACGGCAGTCCCTCGTGAGGGCCCGTGGAGAGATGGTCAAGCCGCACGGGGCCCCCACGTCCAGGCGCTGGCAACTGAAGTCGAGATCTCAGAGGAACTGCGACATCCACCCCCCACCCCCACCCCTCTAGCTATTAACAATTTTTCTTACTATTTATATATATTTTTCCAGGTAAGGTCCACTGAGCTACGTAGCTCTTTTTCAGAAGCGACCTGGCCACACATGATAGCTCAACGAAGTGGCTTATCACGAGGAAATGTAGAGCAGCCAAATACTCTAAACGAGTGATGTTGGTTCTAGATGTGGAAGGCAAAACCGGTTGACCCAGAGAAAAATCCACGCTACCATGGGGAGAGAGAGAGGCAGACAAACTCCACATATACAGCAGGTGTCAGGGTCCGGATGGAACCCACGACCTCCTGTATACCAGGCGGGGTAGTTAACATTTCGGCGCTATGGGCCCCGGCAGAAACCACCATCATCACCACCAACACCCGAGGTGGATAAACATTCGTGATACAGCACTATACTTGCCAAGCACTCATAACTCTGCTGCACATTCAAAGGCCAAACATTCCAATGTGGCAGGACCCTCCTAATAACTAGTTCTGTCGGACGGAACACGGTGTGGCCCGGAAAACGTGGTGTGGTCAGAACGTGGTGTGGCCCGAAAAACGTGGTGTGCTCAGCACGTGGTGTGGTCAGAACGTGGTGTGGCAATAACGTGGTGTGCTCAGCACGTGGTGTGGCAATGACGTAGTGTGCTCAGCACGTGGTGTGCTCAGCACGTGGTGTGGTCAGCACGTGGTGTGCTCAGCACGTGGTGTGCTCAGAACGTGGTGTGGTCAGAATGTGGTGTGGTCAGAACGTGGTGTGGTCAAAACCTGGTGTGGTCAGCGCGTGGTGTGGTCAGAATGTGGTGAGGTCAGCACGTGGTGTGGTCAGCACGTGGTGTGGTCAGAACGTGGTGTGGTCAGCACGTGGTGTGGTCAGCACGTGGTGTGGTCAGAACGTGGTGTGGTCAGAACGTGGTGAGGTCAGCACGTGGTGTGGTCAGAACGTGGTGTGCTCAGCACGTGGTGTGGTCAGAACGTGGTCTGGTCAGAACGTGGTGAGGTCAGCACGTGGTGTGGTCAGAACGTGGTGTGCTCAGCACGTGGTGTGGTCAGAACGTGGTGTGGTCAGCACGTGGTGTGGTCAGCACGTGGTGTGGTCAGCACGTGGTGTGGCAATAACGTGGTGTGGTCAACACGTGGTGTGGTTAGCACGTGGTGTGGCAATCACGTGGTGGCGAGGTCGCTCCGTGCGGTTCATGGGTCTACATGAGCACAGTATGGGTATCTATGCGAGTATGTGGGTGTCGACGGGAGTCGATGAGTCTCTAATGAGCCTGTGGGTCTATGTGAGTCTATGGGTCCCTGTGTGATTGTGTGGGTCTCTATGCGAGTATGTTGGTCTTAGGGCCAGTCTATGGGCCTGTATATGAGTCTATGGGTCTATGTGAACTCTGCCTACACACTGCGCCAGGTACTCGTTTGAGGCTTAGTCGACCTAGGGGAGACCCAGGACCGGTTCAGATAATCGTCGCTGGTGTTGGCCGTGAGTGGAAATCGAACTCGGGTAACACCGGGTTCGTAGCGCAGCATAGCGCTAATCACTACACTACCGCTCCCCATCTCATATCCAACCACCCCAAAAGACTCAACAGCATACGTTTAAGTTACAATTATTCTGCCTGGTTATTTTGTAAGCGAGGTTCGTGATGTGTAAGCACAGCAACAACAAAACAAAACACTTAAATATTGCCCAACTAGAATACAGTGAGGGAAAAAAGTATTTGATTCCCTGCTGATTTTGTACGTTTGCCCACTGACAAAGAAATTATCAGTCTATAATTTTAATGGTAGGTTTATTTGAACAGTGAGAGACAGAATAACAACAAATCCGGAAAAACGGATGTCAAAAATGTTATAAATTGATTTGCATTTTAATGAGGGAAATATGTATTTGACCCCCTCTCAATCAGAAAGATTTCTGGCTGCCAGGTGTCTTTTATACAGGTAACAAGCTGAGATTAGGAGCACTCCCTTTAAGAGTCCACAGAAGCAATCAATCAATCAGATTCCAAACTCTCCACCATGGCCAAGATCAAAAAGCTCTCCAAGGATGTCAGGGACAAGATTGTAGACCTACACAAGGCTGGAATGGGCTACAAGACCATTGCCAAGCAGCTTGGTGAGAAGGTGACAACAGTTGGTGCGATTATTCGCAAATGGAAGAAACACAAAAGAACTGTCAATCTCCTTCGGCCTGGGGCTCCATGCAAGATCTCACCTCGTGGAGTTGCAATGATCATGAGAACGGTGAGGAATCAGCTCAGAACTACACGGGAGGATCTTGTCAATGATCTCAAGGCAGCTGGGACCATAGTCACCAAGAAAACAATTGGTAACACACTACGCCGTGAAGGACTGAAATCCTGCAGCGCCTGCAAGGTTCCCCTGCTCAAGAAGCACATATACATGCCCGTCTGAAGTTTGCCAATGAACATCTGAATGATTCAGAGGACAACTGGGTGAAAGTGTTGTGGTCAGATGAGACCCAAATGGAGCTCTTTGGCATCAACTCAACTCGCGGTGTTTGGAGGAGGAATGCTGCCTATGACCCCGAGAACACCACCCCCACCGTCAAACATGGAGGTGGAAACATTATGCTTTGGGGGTGTTTTTCTGCTAAGGGGACAGGACAACTTCACCGCATCAAAGGGACGATGGACGGGGCCATGTACCGTCAAATCTTAGGTGAGAACCTCCTTCCCTCAGCCAGGGCATTGAAAATGGGTCGTGGATGGGTATTCCAGCATGACAATGACCCAAAATACACGGCCAAGGCAACAAAGGAGTGGCTCAAGAAGAAGCACATTAAGGTCCTGAAGTGGCCTAGCCAGTCTCCAGACCTTAATCCCATAGAAAATCTGTGGAGGGAGCTGAAGGTTCGAGTTGCCAAACGTCAGCCTCGAAACCTTAATGACTTGGAGAAGATCTGCAAAGAGGAGTGGGACAAAATCCCTCCTGAGATGTGTGCAAACCTGGTGGCCAACTACAAGAAACATCTGACCTCTGTGTTTGCCAACAAGGGTTTTGCCACTAAGTACTAAGTCATGTTTTGCAGAGGAGTCAAATACTTATTTCCCTCATTAAAATGCAAATCAATTTATAACATTTTTGACATATTTTTTCTGGATTTTGTTGTTATTCTGTCTCTCACTGTTCAAATAAACCTACCATTAAAATTATAGACTGATCATTTCTTTGTCAGTGGGAAAACGTACGAAATCAGCAGGGGATCAAATACTTTTTTCCCTCACTGTATACATATACGGTAAGTTCTCACTTAAAGCGTGTTCACACAACGCGTTTTAGCTACAACGCGGTTCTTCCGTGACGGAACACTTTCGTACAAAGCGGAACGCGACCGTTATAACGTGGAACGCGACCGTTATAACGTGGAACGCGACCGTTATAACGTGGAACGCGATCGTTACAACGTGAAACGCGACCGTTATAACGCGGAACGCGACCGTTATAACGAGGAACGCGACCGTTATAACGTGGAACGTGACCGTTATAACGAGGAACGCGACCGTTATAACGTGGAACGCGACCGTTATAACGAGGAACGCGACCGTTATAACGAGGAACGCGACCGTTATAACGCGGAACGCGACCGTTATAACGCGGAACGCGACCGTTATAACGTGGAACGCGACCGTTATGACGTGGAACGCGACCGATATAACGTGGAACGCGACTGTTATAACGTGGAACGCGACCGTTACAACGTGGAACGCGACTGTTATAACGTGGAACGCGACCGTTATAACGTGGAACGCGACCGTTATAACGCGGAACGCGACCGTTATAATGCGGAACGCGACCGTTATAACGCGGAACGCGACCGTTACAACGCGGAACGCGACCGTTACAACGTGGAACGCGACCGTTATAACGTGGAACGCGACCGTTATAACGTGGAACGCGACCGCTATAACGTAGAACCTACTTTCTTGAGCTGCGCGGCTGAGCGGTAGAGTGGTACAGTACGCGGAATGATACAGTAACACGGCGGCGTACCTCAGTTATTTTTCCTGCCATCTCACTGGACATCGTATCTCACCCACAACTTTATCGCTACATCACCTTTTGGGAAATTATTTTCGCTTCACCCATTTTTCGTTGAACGCGAGTCACTTTTCAGGAACGCATTTGTGGTGGTCACTCTGTACACACGCACACGCTACACAATACCTACCAGAACGGGGTCATTGGTATCCCTGACCAAGACCCCGCCTGAGGGGTGGAGGCTGTGAAGTGTGTGTGTGTGGGATCCCCCAGAACACTGGTCCTAGACAGAAAGTGGGATCGAACAAACACAGATTGTTTGGGATTCCTGTGGCCAGCACC